TCACATGTTGTCTATTGTCAATGTTTCTGTCTGGGTTGTGGTTTAATGGCTGTGCTTTCCCCACAGGTGAAATACAAGGAGTATGATGAGAGGGACAAAGGTAAGTCCCAGATGGAGTTTGTGGACACAGTGTCTTACAGTGTACAAGGAGGCTCAGAAAATACAAAGCAAAAAAAACACTAAAACGTAACAATATGCCCAGTGTTTACAGAGCTCTGTGCCTATGCTACTTCACAGTGCCATGGCAATTTCAAACCCCATGTTAGGTAGGCAGGGGTTAGCGTTAGAGGTCAGGGTTACCTTGTTGATGTCACTTTACAGTAAAGATGCAACATGCTGAAATCTGTGTGTGTGTGCCTGCGTGTGCGTGCGCGTGTGTGTGCGCGTGTGCGTGCATCTGTGCTTGTATGTCTGTGTTTGGTAATGGTAATGACAGAAGGGTGATGGCGTGCCTCTTTCTTCCCACTGACCTCAGAGAGCGTACAGGAAGGAGTATGATGACCACGTCCGGGGCAAGGCCTTAGTGGACATCGACCTGACCCCTGGGTACCTGACTGCCCGCCACGCCAGCAACGTGAGTTCTGTGCTAAAGTAGCCCTAGGGGCACACATAGTGCCAACATAGCCCTTCATGAGATTTTAAAGGGATAGTTCACCTCAAAATCAAAGTGTTTCAAATGTTTCTATACATCAAATTTGGTCTTAAGTCCATGTTGCCATCTTCTGATATACACCATCTACACATCCATTCATTTAGGAAATAAAAACAGACTTGATTGGGAATGTCCATTCTAGTAATGATATTTCTATGGTTGTGTCACGCTCGTTGATTGACGGCTCGGACCAAGGTGCAGCGTGGTAGGCAAACATTTTTATTTATTAACTGAATACAGACCAAACAACAAAATACAAACGAACGTAAAGTTCTGCAGGCTACACAGCTACTAACCAGAAACAAGATCCCACAAACTAGGAAAATGGCTGCCTAAGTATGATCCCCAATCAGAGACAACGATCGACAGCTGCCTCTGATTGGGAACCACACCCGGCCAACATAGAACTACACATCCTAGAATAGACACCCCAAATCACACCCTGACCTAACCCACTAGAGAATAAAAGGGATCTCCAAGGTCAGGGCGTGACAGGTTGCTGCCTACAGATGGAGTACAGGAGTGAAGGACTGGAGGTGAAGGGGAGGGGAGGGGGCTCTCAGGTCTGTGATTGGAGGACACACCAGGCCTCATACGGACTAAAAATGCCACATCCTCAATGAGGTAGACTCCTTCTATAGTCTTTCACAACAAGGTCAGTTTTTTGATCCCTTGGAATTTACATACACACACACACAAACATTTGTGATGCACAATATCACACCATCATTGCATTATGTGAGAATTAAGCATTGTTGAATCTGTCCCTCTAGAAAGAGTACCTGGAGAATAGGCATGGACATCAGTGGTGATGTACTGGAGATGCAGAGGACCAAGAAGGCCACTGAGTTAACCAGCCAGGAAGGACCCAACCCATACCGCTAGTTAACCAGCCAGGTAGGCCCCAACCCATACCGCTAGTTAACCAGCCAGGAAGGACCCAACCCATACCGCTAGTTAACCAGCCAGGAAGGACCCAACCCATACCGCTAGTTAACCAGCCAGGAAGGACCCAACCCATACCGCTAGTTAACCAGCCAGGTAGGCCTCAACCCATACCGCTAGTTAACCAGCCAGGTAGGCCTAAACCCATACCGCTAGTTAACCAGCCAGGTAGGACCCAACCCATACCGCTAGTTAACCAGCCAGGTAGGCCTCAACCCATACCGCTAGTTAACCAGCCAGGTAGGCCCCAACCCATACCCCTAGTTAACCATCCAAGTAGGGCCTAACCCATACCGCTAGTTAACCAGCCAGGTAGGGCCCAACCCATACCGCTAGTTAACCAGCCAGGTAGGCTCCAACCCATACCGCTAGTTAACCAGCCAGGCAGGTTTCACCTGATACTGCTAGTTAGGCCCAACTCCATTTCTCTCCCTCGCCCCTATAACTACGTTCTGCACAGATTGGTAAGGACTGCACAGGTAAAAGCAGTATAGTGGAAGCTCCACTTAGTCTTACTAGAGTCTAGGTAGAGCCATCATCATATTGCTTACTATTCAAAGCCTTTACTAAATGTAGACAGGAGACACAAAAGGGGTAGAAGCTGAAATGGAACCAGACACATTTGTCATATTTTAAGTTCTCAGTACTTTAAATGTGACACAGCACTAAAGTAGCACATCTGCTTTGTGAGAAACAATTATAATCTGAGAACACCTGCTCTGTTTTACACTAATACTAATCAGCCCAGAATCATTATAATCAGGCAAAATAACAGGCAGCAGATGGACTGTCAGGACCCGTCCAGCCTCAGGGCTCCATTACACAACAGCAACACTCACAGACAACGTATGGCCCTCCCTCATCACTTATAGATGGACCCAAGCTTCGCTTGTCTGCATCTCTCTCTTATGAAACGGCCTCATTAAACATTCATTTTAGAGACTATAACGTGCCTGTCTATTTTCTGTCACTCTAAAACAAGTCCTTCATTTGAGACCTTGGTCAAGTTCATTAGGGCACACAGTAGCAAAACGTTTTGCAACAGGGAACAAAAAAGAGTGTTTCTGTCATGATGCTTTTGATGTCCTGTTGTTGCCAAGCTGCCCTGAGTCTCTGAGTGTACGTGTTAGTCTGTGTTTGACTGTTCCAGGCCTCCTACAAGCAGACAGCCCAGCTGAGGGAGAACTTGTATGGAACGGTGACCGAGACACACCAGAAATACTGTACGCCGCCTACCTGAAAGATGTCTACAGCCAGGTAGGGATAACTCTCAGTACTGCATCCCACCACGAGTAGCACTTTTATTTTACACCACAAGAATGGGATAGGTGCTTGAATGGTGTGTCAATCTCTCAACTTTATGCAGAAGAAGTACAAGGATGAGGCGGAGAAGCTGAAGGATTCGTATGGGTTCAACACCCCTGAGATGGAGAGAGTGAAGAATAACCAGAGGAACATCAGCTCAGTGAGGGACAGAGTACACACACACACACACACACTTTTACGCAGTATTATCTGTCAACACAGTTACCCTTTTGCTCTAAACCTCCAGTGTCGGTACGCTTGGGACTCAAAGCTGCAGAAAAGCCTGATGTCTTCTGTCACCGACACTCCGGAAATCGTCCTCGCCAGGGAGAACACAAAGGAAATCAGTGATGTAAGATGTCATCCTTTGTTCTACACAACCATGTACAGGACATGTAGTCGTTGGGCCGTATGAACTACAGTATGTTGCTGTGAGGGTATTGTTCAGCCTCTAGCAGAAAAACACTGTGGCTAGATCTATTATGCACTTCACTTTCTTATTGTAACAAGGTCTTCAATTATCATCAAGATGATGAGGATGAGAGTGATGGTAGCATTTGTATGGTGAGCATGTAAACAGCGCCACTGTAAGTGTGTGTGACGGCTCTGTTCCATGTCCAGGTGAAATAAAGAGGGAGCGGAAAGTCTTGGAAACCGTTGACATGGAGAGGGTCCGCAGAAACCAGGAGAACATCAGCTTGGTGAGAGGTTAAACCTTGTCTGACCTTTGACCTCACAGGAAGGGCTTGTTTTGAAAAACAGGCATCTTTGTTGTGTCTGCCTGTCCCTTTTCATCTGGGTTTTGTTTGGATTTTCTACAGCTTCATTGGTGCAAACTAAACATCACAAACCGCAGACACACTGAACAATCATTCAGTCAAATCTTGGGTTGTTACTTAGACAATCCGACATCTGAATTCGCTCCAAGCCCACAATGATTTCTGTACACTAATTTGGTCTGAAACTCTGTCCTGTCCTGCCTGACACAGGCAGCCTTTCACACTGGCCCTGGTCCAGTCTAAGTCATTACAGCCATTAGTGGATCCTGCTGAACAATCCCCCATTGAGGGAGTAGAGCAGACTGAAAGAACACGGGGGCCCTGCCTGGCAGCCCAGGCAGGACCTCTGGCGCCATGGTGACTGAACCGGGACACTATTTTCACCCAGATGCCAATCACTAATGATGCTCAGCAAGCAAAATTTGTCATGGGACGTCATAATGATGTAATTTTACATTGACATTACATTTTAGTCATTTAGCAGACGCTCTTATCCAGAGCGACTTACAGTTAGTGAATACATATTTTTTTATACTGGCCCCCCGTGGGAATCGAACCCACAACCCTGGCGTTGCAAACGCCATGCTCTATCAACTGAGCTATATCCCTGCCGGCCATTCCCTCCCCTACCCTGGGCCAATTGTGCGCCGCCCATGAGTCTCCCGGTCGCGGCCGGCTGCGACAGAGCCTGGATTCGAACCAGGATCTCTAGTGGCACAGTTAGCACTGCGATGCAGTGCCTTAGACCACTGCGCCACTCAGGTTGCAAACTGTTTTCTGGTTGCAAACTGTTTTTCTGGTTGTAGAGACAGATAAACTCTGACTTGTGAATGTTGTTTTAACGTTGTGTGAAGTATAAAAAGCAGCTCCAGGCCACCAGTGTGGGACCAGTGTGGGAGTCACCCCAGAGTTGGAGAGAGTCCGTCAGAACCAGCTCGGCAAGTCACATAGGATGCATCTGAAATGGCAACCTACAGTATATGTGGGCTCTGACCAAAAGTAGTGCACTATGTAGTGGAAATGGCCTAGGTGGGAGTGTGCTAAGCAGTATGACCACCAATTACTTTTGTGCTACTTTAGATAATTGAGATGCACCCCGACCTACTTTTGTGCTACTTTAGATAATTGAGATGCACCCCGACCTACTTTTGTGCGTTGCAGGTGAAGTACCAGGGCGGGATGAAGGAGGTGAAGGGGCGGTCCTGCAGCGAGTTGGACACGCCCGAACAGGGAGTCCCAGAATGACATCTAACATGACCGAAGCGCACCGCGTGTGGGACTGCTGCACCTTTAACCCTCAGAGCTAAAGCGTTAAAAGCATGGCTGTTTCCTTCTATGAGGGAGCCATAATGAATGTATGTTTGTGAGCGTGTCTGTGAGTGCACGCGCGTGTTTTACTAATAAAGTGATTTTTACATGGTTTCTTGTGCAGAGTTTTTTTGCATACTGACCAAAATACACCCTTTGCTCTCTGACCAAAATGCACACAGGTTGTATGTGTGTGTGTGTACGTCTGCGTGCACGTGTGTGTCGGTATGTGTGCTTTTGTATGCATGCATCCACGTGTGTACACTTGACAGACGTTTTGCCTGGTGTGACACAATTTCACAAATGTGTAAATGTACATCAATAATGTTCCTCTCATTAAGCTGCCACACAAAACTCTGAGTTGTTATCGCGACGCTGAAAGTGTGCCACCCATATTTGCTTTGACAGGTGAAGTACCACGAGGACTTTGAGCGGACGAGGGGCCGAGGCTGCACCCCAGTGATGGAGGACCAAAGCATGGAGAGAATGCACCACCGGAACAACCTAATGATGAGTGAGGCAGCCTACAAGGGAGTGCACCCACAGGTGGTGGAGATGGACAGGAGACCTGGAGGCATCATCGTAGGTGAGTGGCACACAAAATGGCGGGCACCACCCGTCCTCAAAAAGGATTTGAACTTAAACTTCATCTCATCTTTGAAGAATTTGTGATGTCCTTTAAACAAAGTTACAGTTTTTCTATGAAATTGCTGTCTAGTGTCTAGCAATTGTGGGTTGTTTAGTGTCAGTCACTACAAGGATACAAGCCACAGGAGGTTGGTGGTAACTTAATTGGGGAGGATGGGCTCGTGGTAATGGCTGGAGCGGAATAGGTGGAATGGTATCAAATACATGGGTAACATGTGTTTGATGCCATTCCATTTGCTCCGTTCCAGTCATTATTATGAGCCGTCCTCCCCTCAGCAGCCCCCACTGATACAAGCCCAGATGTGTACACGTTACATTTGTGGAAACTGAAAATATCTATTGTGACAGGTTTCTCACTCTGCAGATGGAAGTTCCAAGTTGGACTCTACTCACCTTGCACGAAACTCTATGTGTTTTCCATATCTAATCTACATGACTTCAACTGTGTATTTCTGTTATCAATTTCCAGTCTTTTCTCTCTAAATGACCTCTCCCTGACCTTTCCCCTGTCAAAGGCCTTAAGGTGCGGTGGACAGACCCATGTTCCATCTTTGACTTTGACCCTGTGGAGGATAACATTTCAGTCTAAAAGTCTTCACAGACTGTCTGGTGCTACAAACCCTATGAGAGGGTGGAATACCTCCCGAGTGGCCCAATGGGGCGGCGCACAATTGGCCCAGCGTCGTCCAGGGTAGGGGAGGGAATGGCCGGCAGGGATGTAGCTCAGTTGGCAGAGCATGGCGTTTGCAACGCCAGGGTTGTGGGTTCGATTCCCACGGGGGGCCAGTATGAAAATAAAAAAGAATAATATATGCACTAACTGTAAGTCGCTCTGGATAAGAGCGTCTGCTAAATGACGTAAATGAGATGTTTTCATCTCTCCACACACCTTATATAGACTACTGTATATCGCCCTCCTACTTGACCTTTATTACCCTACTTGACCTGTACTCTACTTATCTCTTCTACCTTCAGTTGCATTTCATCCTCCTCATGTTCTCTGTGTTCTTTCCATTGCCTCTCTGTCATTTTCCTGACTGTTATATTTATCCTACTGTCTCTACGCCCTCTTGTGGCGGCGCCCGGCAGCAGTCGGTGCTCTCGCAGGCCCAGTCAGTTAACTTAGTTAGAGTTGGGCCAATAACCGAAAGGTCGCTCGTTTGAATCCCTGAGTCGACAAGGTGAAAAATCTGTCGCTGTGCCCTGGAGCAAGGCACTTAACCCTAATTGGTCCAAGGTCGCGGTTGATAATGTCTGGCCGTGACCCCACTCTCTGAGGGTGTCTCGGGGAAGTTGGGACATGCAAAAAACACATTTCCAAATAGGAAAAATACTGCACTGCTCAAAAAAATAAAGGGAACACTAAAATAACACATCCTAGATCTGAATGAATGAAATAATCTTATTAAATACTTTTTGCTTTACATAGTTGAATGTGCTGACAACAAAATCACACAAAAATTATCAATGGAAATGAAATGTATCAACCCATGGAGGTCTGGATTTGGAGCCACACTACAGGCTGATCCAACTTTGATGTAATGTCCTTAAAACAAGTCAAAATGAGGCTCAGTAGTGTGTGTGGTCTCCACGTGCCTGTATGACCTCCCTACAACACCTGGGCATGCTCCTGATGAGATGGCAGATGGTCTCCTGAGGGATCTCCTCCCAGACCTGGACTAAAGAATCCGCCAACTCCTGGACAGTCTGTGGTGCAACGTGGCGTTGGTGGATGGAGCGAGACATGATGTCCCAGATGTGCTCAATTGGATTCAGGTCTGGGGAACGGGCGGTCCATAGCATCAATGCCTTCCTCTTGCAGGAACTGCTGACTCCAGCCACATGAGGTCTAGCATTGTCTTGCATTAGGAGGAACCCAGGGCCAATCGCACCAGCATATGGTCTCACAAGGGGTCTGAGGATCTTATCTCGGTACCTAATGGCAGTCAGGCTACCTCTGGCGAGCACATGGAGGGCTGTGCGGCCCCCCAAAGAAATGCCACCCCACACCATGACTGACCCACCGCCAAACCGGTCATGCTGGAGGATGTTGCAGGCAGCAGAACGTTCTCCATGGCGTCTCCAGACTCTGTCACATCTGTCACGTGCTCAGTGTGAACCTGCTTTCATCTGTGAAGAGCACAGGGCACCAGTGGCGAATTTGCCAATCTTGGTGTTCTCTGGCAAATGCCAAACGTCCTGCACGGTGTTGGGCTGTAAGCACAACCCCCACCTGTGGACGTTGGGCCCTCATACCACCCTCATGGAGTCTGTTTCTGACCGTTTGAGCAGACACATTCACATTTGTGGACTGCTGGAGGTCATTTTGCAGGGCTCTGGCAGTGCTCCTCCTGCTCCTCCTTGCACAAAGGTGGAGGTAGCGGTCCTGCTGCTGGGTTGTTGCCCTCCTACGGCCTCCTCCACGTCTCCTGATGTACTGGCCTGTCTCCTGGTAGCGCCTCCATGCTCTGGACACTACGCTGACAGACACAGCAAACCTTCTTGCCACAGCTCGCATTGATGTGCCATCCTGGATGAGCTGCACTACCTGAGCCACTTGTGTGGGTTGTAGACTCCGTCTCATGCTAACACTAGAGTGAAAGCACCGCCAGCATTCAAAAGTGACCAAAACATCAGCCAGGAAGCATAGGAACTGAGAAGTGGTCTGTGGTCACCACCTGCAGAACCACTCCTTTATTGGGGGTGTCTTGCTAATTGCCTATAATTTCCACCTGTTGTCTATTCCATTTGCACAACAGCATGTGAAATGTATTGTCAATCAGTGTTGCTTCCTAAGTGGACAGTTTGATTTCACAGAAGTGTGATTGACTTGGAGTTACATTGTGTTGTTTAAGTGTTCCCTTTATTTTTTTGAGCAGTGTATATAAGCACCCACCAAATTATTATTATTATTATTAAATGGGATTTGTTTTCGGGGTCCACAACAAAACAGGGCCAAATTATTTGAGGTCATACAGATGCTTGGACTCAACACACCAATAACAAGCATGTGTGCACACACAGGGTGGAAGGAGAATACATCATTTATTCATATTTTAATTATTTCATCCATGACTATCAGTGTGAGCCCTGATCCCCCCTCTTACCTTACTCCTCTCCCAGCACGTGTCTGACCAACAGAGTGCCTCCCTCTCCCCATCTCTCTACAACCTGACCAACAGAGTGCCTCCCTCTCCCCCATCTCTCTACAACCTGACCAACAGAGTGCCTCCCTCTCCCCCATCTCTCTACAACCTGACCAACAGAGTGCCTCCCTCTCCCCCATCTCTCTACAACCTGACCAACAGAGTGCCTCCCTCTCCCCCATCTCTCTACAACCTGACCAACAGAGTGCCTCCCTCTCCCCCTTTTCTCTACAACCTGACCAACAGTACACTAATAGGTTGTATACAGAAGTCCCTAACCCAATATTTGAAAGACTCCAAGGGTTTTGGAGATGGTTGTGGTGTTTAAACCCTAACACTCTCACAGTTCTCTTCTCTACCCACAGAAATACCTAACAGTCAGTGACTTTTTGATTCATGTCCAGGTCAACTGGGGATGGCATGGTTCCATTCTGATTCCATTGTGATGTAATGTTCTAACAGCCACCTAGTATGCACAGTGAGACTCAAAGGAGATGGTATTCCTGCTCAAAAACAGTTTTGAGCACTAAATGAAAGGTCTCAAACTTTTGTCATCAATGTCTTTGTGTCTTCCTGTCTGTCTTTGACTACCAGCTCCTGTGCTACCTGGGGCGTACCATCAGAGTGCCCAGCCACAGCAGCCGGGGTACGGCTATATGCACCAGACCAGCATGTCCTCTGTGAGGTCTGTGCAGTCCCCCCCATCTGTCACCATGGTGAGTTCCAATGCAAGCAGTCTATTCTTGTAGGTTTTGTGAATTCATACAGGATCTTATTTGTATGCCATGGCCAATTCAATTAGGAAACTATCCAAAATATGTCACTCATATTTGTTTGCAAATTGTTTTTGTGAATTCACACAATCAGCTACTTGTGTGCCCTGATATTTATGTTGTATAATTAATGTTGTAGACATAAACACACACGATTAACATTGTTGCCATTCCTCCCGTTCAGAGAGTGTACCGGGCGCTCTACGACTACGCAGCACAGGACCACGACGAGGTGTCTTTCCGCGACGGTGACGCCATCGTCAATGCTCAGCCTATCGACGAGGGCTGGATGTACGGCACCGTGCAGAGGACTGGCAAATCAGGCATGCTCCCTGCCAACTATGTGGAGTGCTTCAACTAAGGAACGCATCTCAATAGTCTTCAAATGGTTTCCTTTCCTCTCCCCTCGTCTCCTCTCCTCCATCTGCACTGATGTGAAAGCAAAACGATTGGATAGGTGGACGAAGATAAGGTGGACTGGATGCCTGCTGGGAACTTGACCTCCACCAGTCCAGTTATTTTCATGTCACACAGTTGAAGGAGAGGAGATGAGGAAAGTAGGCCACTGTAGATTATTGAGATGCACCCAAGGGCTAGGCTTACCATGGTTTGGTGGAGTCCTCTCCCCAAGTGTCTGTTTGAAGCCTGGTCCTGGAGGGCTACTGTACATCATTAGAGATAAAGGAACTGGGTGGCGTTGTTCAATTTGTTCTGTCTAGACTACAGGCCCAAACTATCATAGCCACATTACCCGCTGAAAATGATCATGTAAAAATTTATCATGTAATAATACGTTTTGCTTTTGGTTTCATTTAAAGCATTGGTGGCTTGTCTTACGTTATCAGTTCATGAAAGAATATATATAATTCAATCAGAGAATTGTAACCCTCAAATAGGCAACATTTAGCAGACAAAAAAAGGACCTATTCAATGGAATACAGTTACCACTTTCCGGTACAAGTTGACAACATAATGATTCCCACACTAGAAAGGACATTTTAATCCGTTAAGCAGTTTCTTTTTCTTTCACACAATAAACATTGTTGTGTTGACTTCATGATTCCAAACGTGCATTCTTGCAGCACAAGAACAATACTGTTTTCGACTTATCCTGGAAAAGCGGTTAGCAGGTTTGCTTGAATAGTGCCCAACCTCTTTCTCCAGCACCGGAATTGGGAGGGACCCGCTTTCTTCTTGTACTCCTTTGTATTTCAATTATTATATTTTGCATTTAGACATCAACACTAACCTTGTTTTATGTACAAAGTAGGGGAGGGGAGAGGGAGTGGAGGAGAAATTTACTTTTCAGGACAATCCTGAGCGATTGCCAGACAGTCAGCTGTTTAGCTTTTGTTATCTCATTAACACGCCGCTTCGTACTGTTTCTGTCTGATGACATAAGGGTTGGTTTAAACCAGCTCCACAAGTAAATATAGTTGATACAAACTATAGTAAACGAGTCACACCATCTCACCTCTTGCTGTGAGTTCAGTGGAGTGTTTACATCTCTTTTACCAGTTTAGCCTCACACAGGCTTTGATTAGATTATGTCCACATAATTTAGAGCTAACTGGCAACATGATTGTCATATGTTGCCATGTAAACAGTGTCAAGTAAGAATGGTATAGGAAGTTGGATTGTAATCTTAAGATTTCTAAACTATTGTGAACACTATTTTGATTAATAAGCTCCTATAAAGTATTGGATGGTTCTATTTTACTCTTCACTGTTGCAGACACTAATGACAGGACACCCTTTGGAAAAAAAGCCTCCAAAAGGGTTCTTCTGCTGTCCCCATAGGAGAACCCTTTTTGGTTTCAGGTAGAACTCTTTTGGGTTCCATGTAGAACCCTCTGTGGAAAGGGTTCTACATGGAACCCAAAAGGGTTCTACCTGGAAACAAAAGGGTTCTACCTGGAACCAAAAAGGGTTATTCAAAGGGTTCTCCTATGGGGACAGCCAAAGAACCCTTATTGGTTCTAGATAGCACCTTTTTTTCTAGTGTACATGTATTTGTGCATGTTATAAATGGTTTACAATATCTTGAGGTGTGCAAAATCCATGCACACTATTGTGACCATTCAAGGACTTCATTTCTGGGTACATGGTAGCTGGGGATTCTATCTCTTTACCGTAGTTTTGTACATTACATTTTATTACTGAAAGTGGTAATAAACAGAAATGAAAACGTTGTGAAATGCTCATATTGGCCTTTAATAGACAATAACGGGACAGCAAGAAACATCAAGCTTGGTGTGTTGCTGATACAATTTATAAAGCCTTTTTAGGTCCAAAGGTTTTTGCTTATAGTAGTTCTGTTTTTAAATGTCTCTGTAAAAAATGTTTACTCAGTTTGTACGCCATCACCGAGTTTTATTGAGATGTCCCTTTTTCCTCAGTTAACAATGTTTTTAAAAAATGTAATTAATTTCAGTGTGTCAGGTGAAAAAAATAAAAACGCTTTGTCAACAATTATTTTGTAATTGACTCATTCAAACACCTTTTGAAAAGCTACAGTGGATTATACATGGTCAATGTATTAAGTTTAACATATCACCTAATGACAATACCACCATTTGTCTAAGGTTATTGTGCATGTATGGTGGTTATAGCATGACTTATTATACAGTATATCTTACTATATCTAGGATATTGACAGCTAAGTGCAAAGGTCACAGCAGGCACTGATGATGCATCATAATTGACGCATCATAATGACATCCAGCAACATTGCGTCATAATTTATAGGCCATACGTTTATTTACGTGGGAGCAACAGGTAGGAAATGCATTACTACTGTAGAAAATAGAGATGCCAGTTATGATGATATCATATCAATGATAGGCCAAGTTGTAATGATTTATTATCCAAAAAATTCACAACCTGAATTCATGACCTGTTTAGATTATTAAATAGTGCATGTTTATTTTCCGTAAATATAACACAACTCACATGCCCCATTTGATAATCTCAGACAAAATCTCAATATTGACCTAATGTTTCAATCAATTCTAGTAAAAAAAAATATCCATACAAATGTTACATGAAAATATCCAGAACTAATGTCCATCATGTCTTATGTATCAGGTCATTCTGGGTGGACTCTCATCAGGTCTAAAAGGACAGTGAGTGAGGGACTCAGTGTGTAATTGGACTAACACATTAAAGACCCTGATACACTTGCTGTATTTGAACAGTGTAACGGAATGGACCTAGACCAAACAGAGCCTGTGGACCACCTAGGCCAGCACCTATCATCGGCACCTCCAAACAAACCAATCACAAACTCACAATGTGTCCACCGGGGGCGGGACATTCCAATAAACAGGAATCATGCTGTTACTGCTCAAACACAACCCGAGATGGCTTCATCCTCACCAGTAAGTCTATAGGTTATATAGGAGCCATATTGATTGTACCAGGATGTGGACATGGAGCTAGGGCTAAAGTTAGGGTTGTGGTTAACGGTTAGGGTTGAACCGGGACGTGGACCTGAAGCTAGGGTTAGGGTTGTGGTTGGGGCTAGGGTTAGAGTTGAACCGGGACGTGGACCTGAAGCTAGGGTTAGGGTTGTGGTTGGGGCTAGGGTTAGAGTTGAACCGGGACGTGGACCTGAAGCTAGGGTTAGGGTTGTGGTTGGGGCTAGGGTTAGGGTTGAACCGGGACGTGGACCTGAAGCTAGGGTTAGGGTTGTGGTTGGGGCTAGGGTTAGAGTTGAACCGGGATGTGGACATGAAGCTAGGGTTAGGGTTGTGGTTGGGGCTAGGGTTAGGGTTGAACCGGGACGTGGACCTGAAGCTAGGGTTAGGGTTGTGGTTGGGGCTAGGGTTAGGGTTGAACCGGGACGTGGACCTGAAGCTAGGGTTAGGGTTGTGGTTGGGGCTAGGGTTAGAGTTGAACCGGGATGTGGACATGAAGCTAGGGTTAGGGTTGTGGTTGGGGCTAGGGTTAGAGTTGAACCGGGACGTGGACCTGAAGCTAGGGTTAGGATTGTGGTTGGGGCTAGGGTTAGGGTTGAACCGGGACGTGGACCTGAAGCTAGGGTTAGGGTTGTGGTTGGGGCTAGGGTTAGGGTTGAACCGGGACGTGGACCTGAAGCTAGGGTTAGGGTTGTGGTTGGGGCTAGGGTTAGAGTTGAACCGGGATGTGGACATGAAGCTAGGGTTACACCCTGTTGTGTTTAGGTGTCAAACTGAAGAAAACCTGAAACAGGGAGGGACTACCTTGACTTTTCCAATAGGAAATGTTCCTTTTGTTTTCTCATCAGTCTAATCACCTGATTTACTTCATGAGCTAGAAAGTGATCATTCCTCAATAGCCTAGATAAGTAGGTATATTTATCTACCAACCGCATAAACTGTCCACAGACGCAGACGACTGTGACAGACTTGGTTTGCCATGCCCCTGTCCCTGGCGATGACCAATCCAAACACAGCGTGCAGCATGTCCTGTTGCGTGAGCTTCTGTACATGTCGGACGAAATCGCCCACCTGCGCCAGGTGAGCCACTGCCTGGCCGAGTACGAACGGACGCTGAGTCGGCTGGAGTTGGAGAACGCCCAGCTGAGGAACATGGAGTCTGACCTGCTAGAGAGCGCCGAGGTCAGCGAGAGAGGCCTCAGGCTGGCCAGGGAGAGTCGCCGCCACAAGGACCAGGAGATCCACGACCTGAGAGAGGCCAACTGGGTCCTGGCTCTCACCAACGACAGGCTGAAAGAGGCCTGCCGGGAGAAGGATAGGTGTCTGGTGGATTGCCAGACCAAGTGGAGTAGGAAGCCTGGGGGGATGCTACCGTTCGCAGAGGAAGGGGAAAGGAGGACATTGCTGGGCCATGGAAATAAGGGAGGTGAGGGAAGTGAGGAATCGGTGGAGGAGAAAGGCTCTCTGCATGAGAAGAAGGAGCTCTACAGCAACTCTATAGCAGACTACAGTCTTCACCTACATCTCAAAGGGAGCGGAGGGGATCCGTGCTTTGAGATGCAGCTTCCCTTGAGTTCAGAGGGGCCAGGTGTGGCTCAAGTATGCCTTCTTCTAAGACAACTGGAGACCGAAGTCCACAGTCCGGGTAAGACGGATGCAGGCAGGAACCAAGCCATCTGGAACTTTGGTGCCAGCCTTGGGAAATTGCATAAAACATTGAAAGGAGGAGAGATAGATGATGAAGTGGAATATGGGATTGATGATGATCAGAAAGGGGCTCCATGCACTAAAGACAGTATGGAGGAAGAAGCAGAAGCACTTGAGGAGGCTGAATTCATTGAAGAGGACTTTGTTGAGGTCTGTAGGCCTATTCATTCATCCATTATCCCTCCCATCATACATTTTAGCAAATGATCAATCTCTCACTACATCCTTTTTCTCCATAGACTGTTGAAGTTGACGACAGCTGTGAAACACTGTGACTGCAGAAATAACTGTTTTTGAAGACATGCAGAGAAATGTCTTTCTTGACTCATTCTCCTTTGAACACCATTTTACTTCACTTCCACTTTACAATTGTTTTATGTGCTATAAAGGTCAAGTCACACATCTAAATGCCTCCGTGTACTATTTGATAGGAAATGTAATGTATTAATTTGTTTTAAAGAAATGTAGGCTTACAAAATGAAGAAATCCATCCACTTTCTCTCACAAAAAGTAAATCCAGGTAAATCCCTTCAGATTTGATGACGTCGTGCATATATATATATACACTACCAGTCAAAAGTTTGGACACACCTACTCATTCAAGGGTTTTTCTTTATTGTAGAATAATAGTGAAGACATCGAAACTATGAAATAACACATATGGAATCATGTAGTAACCAAAAAAGTGTTAAACAAATCTAAATATATTTTATATTTGAGATTCTTCAAATAGCCACCCTTTGCCTTAATGACAGCTTTGCACACTCTTGGCATTCTCTCAATCAGCTTCATGAGGTACTCACCTGGAATGCATTTCAATTAACAGGTGTGCCTTCTTAAATGTTAATTTGTGGAATTTATTTCCTTCTTAATGCGTTTGAGACAATCAGTTGTGTTGTGACAAGGTAGGGGTGGAATACATAAGATAGCCCTATTTGGTAAAAGACCAAGTCCATATTATGGCAAGAACAGCTCAAATATGCAAAGAGAAACGACAGTCCATCATTACTTTAAGACATGAAGGTCAGTCAATACTGAAAATGTAAAGAACTTTGAAAGTTTCTTTAAGTGCAGTCGCAAAAACCATCAAGCGCTATGATGAAACTGGCTCTCATGAGGACCGCCACAGGAATGGAAGACCCAGAGTTACCACTGCTGCAAAGGATAAGTTCATTAGAGTTACCAGCCTCAGAAATTACAGCCCAAATAAATGCTTCACAGAGTTCAAGTCACAGACACATCTCAACATCAACTGTTCAAAGGGGACTGCGTGAATCAGGCCTTCATGGTCGAATTGCTGCAAAGAAACCACTTCTAAAGGACACCAATAATAAGAAGAGACCTGCTTGGGCCAAGAAACACGAGCAATGGACATTAGACCGGTGGAAATGTGTCCTTTGGTCTGGAGTCCAAATTGGAGATTTTTGGTTCCAACCGCTGTGTCTTTGTGAGACGCGGTGTGGGTGAACGGATGATCTCCGCATGTGTCGTTCCCACCGTAAAGCATGGAGGAGGAGGTGTTATGGTGTGGGGGTGCTTTGCTGGTGACACTGTCTGAAATGTATTTAGAATTCAAGGCACACTTAACCAGCGTGGCTACCACAGCATTCTGCAGCGATACGCCATCCCATCTGGTTTTGGCTTAGTGGGACTATCATTTGTTTTTCAACAGGACAATGACCCAACACACCTCCAGGCGGAGTAAGGGCTATTTTACCAAGAAGGAGAGTGATGGAGTGCTGCATCAGATGACCTGGCCAATTGGTTTGGGATGAGTTGGACCGCAGAGTGAAGGAAAAGCAGCCAACAAGTGCTCAGCATATGTGGGAACTCCTTCAAGACTGTTGGAAAAGCATTCCAGGTGAAGCTGGTTGAGAGAATGCCAAGAGTGTGCAAAGCTGTCATCAAGGCAAAGGGTGGCTATTTTAAGAATCTCAAATATAAAATATATTTTGATTTGTTTAACACTTTTTTGGTTACTTCATGATTCCATATGTGTTATTTCATAGTTTTGATGTCTTCACTATTATTCAACAGTGTAGAAAATAGTAAAAATTAAGAAAAACCCTTGAATGAGTAGGTGTGTCCAAACTTTTGACTGGTACTGTATATTTAAGCAATAAGGCCCTAGGGCCTTCTCGACCCAAGGCAGGGTGCCTGGATACATGGATTGGACATATACCACAAACCCCCGAGGTGCCTTATTGCTATTATAAACTGGTTACCAACGTAATTAGAGCAATAAAAATAAATGACAAAACATGTATTTGTACAAAACATGTATTTTTACTGCTCTAATTACGTTGGTAACCATATATATATATATATATATTTGCGCATGCCCACAACCGGATAGCATGTCATATATATATATATATATATGGTTACCAACGTAATTAGAGCAGTAAAAATACATGTTTTGTACAAATACATGTTTTGTCATTTATATGACGTGCCATGTGGGCATGCGCATTTCAATTTAGCAATCGGAACTGTAGCTAGGCTTCAAGGAAGTAGGCTTACTGATTTCACATCAAAATGATAAAATTTCTACCTAAACTGCTTTTGCTAGTATTACTAGCTTTCCCGGCAACGATTATCATGAAAGGTGAGTCTGTCGAACTGGAATTAGGTTGACTAGCTGAAGTGAAACAGCCTTGGCAATTACAGTTAAGCTAACGTTAGCTAACTAACGTTAGCTTTATGGAAGGCCACTGACACTGTCCCATGCGCATTTTGATATGTGTAAAAGGATTTTCTGTTAGTACGACATTGTAGCTACTGTCCTTCTCAAATAATAGTTTTATTGGTGTCGATACTGGCTACACGTTTTAGTACCTATTCATTACAAATGTAATTTAATAGTGAGTCTTGCTTAGTCAAAAGTGGTAACTACAGTAGCTAGACTGACGTGTCCTTACCAGCTTGCTCCTAGCTGTCATTCATGTAGCCAGCTAACGTTAACTAGGTTGCTAAATAAGTTGCTAACTGTTAGCTAAGATTTGCAACATGTTAATTATTTATGCATAGTCACTTTAACTCTACCCACATGTACATATTACTTCAACTACCTCACCCCCCTGTATATATAGCCTCCCTACTGTTATTTTATTTTACTTCTGCTCTTTTTTTCTCAACTCTTTTTTGTTGTTTTATTTTACTTTTTTATTAAAAATAAATGCACTGTTGGTTAAGGGCTGTAAGTAAGCATTTCACTGTAATGTCTGCACCTGTTGTATTCGGTGCATGTGGCCAATAAAATTGGATTTGATTTGAACATAGGGTCGTGCATTATCATGCTGAAACATGAGGTGATTGCGGCAGATGAATGGCACGACAATGGGCCTCAGGATCTCGTTACGGTATCTCTGTGTATTCAAATTGCCATCGATAAAATGCAATTGTGTTCGTTGTCCATAGCTTATGCCTGCCCATACCATAACCCTATTGCCATCATGGGGAACTCTGTTTACAACGTTGACATCAGCACACTGCTCGCCCACACAACACCATACACGTGATCTGTGGTTGTGAGGCCGTTTGGACATACTACCAAATTCTCTTAAAATAACGTTGGAGGCGGCTTATGGTAGAGAAATTAACATTAAATTCTCTGGCAACAGCTCTGGTGGACATTCCTGAAGTCAAATGCCAATTGCACACTCCCTCAACTTGAGACAAAATGTGGCGTTGTGTGACACAACTGCACATTTTAGAGTAGCCTTTTATTGTCCCCAGCGCAAGGTGCACCTTTGTAATGATCATGCTGTTTAATCAGCTTATTGATATGCCACTCCTGACAGGTGGATGGATTATCTTGGCAAAGGAGAAATGCTCACTAACAGGGATGTAAACCAATTTGTGCACACAATTTGAGAAGATTTTAGTGCGTTTGGAGAATTTCTGTGATCTTTTATTTCAGCTCATGAAACATGTGACAACACTTTACATGTTGCGTTTGTTTTGTTCAGTATATTAATAAAGTCTGATTTAATCAACAAATACGATAGTCAATTTAAAAAGGTTAAAGGTACAAGACTGTGTACATATCTGGCTATGTTGGCAAAACCACTATATATCCCATCGAGCCAAGAAGGGAGAGGCTGCCCATTTTCACGGTTCCAAGACCAGTCAGAAACGCCCAGCTAACCCTACGCCAATGACGCCGGTGGATCTCAAAACTGAATTTAAGTAGCAATGATATCCTTCGCCACCTTTGTCTGACGACAAGACAGATTGCTCGAACCAGTCATGACTATTCAACAAAACAAATAATTTTCAAGTGTCTTTCTAGCAAATGTCTTAGTTACATGATTGTATAACTAGCAAAGGAGTTTTGATGTTGAGGGTGCAGTGTTTATGAAGTTTGGCAATGAGGACGAAAAACTAGCGTAGTTCAGCTAGCCAGCTAGTTTAGCCAGGGAAAACAAACTCGGACAGAATATAGCTGGGCGCACATGCACACTAGGCTAATTCAGGACACAGATGATTGTTTTTATGCCCTGACATCAGGAGCTGGCGGCAAAGTTTTGATTAAACAATTCAGACTGAAACTAATACATCAGGTGACAAATATTTAAGGAGAGCTAATCGGTATACAATCCCGAAATCAAATGTAACTGTCAATAGTAAAACAAAGCTTAAACTGATGTTTTGAGTGAACCTGAATCCAGAAAATGTATGGTGAAATTGCTTCTGGACACTGTAGACTCCTCTTCTTCACCATTCTATGCTTAGCCTTAATCTCCTGTCACTCAATTCACATCAAAAACCATGATTTCAACAGGGGACAAGGAGCCTCAGAGATCTTGGCCACAGAAGCCCTCTATTTTTGGCAAAGCCTAGCATTCATATTTGTTGTCCGGACATTGTAGCCAGCAGTGTTTTGCTTGAGTGGTTTAACGATAGAAGCTTGCGATATGAAAGAGTCATTTGATAATTCAATGACTTTTGCTATGCCTAGGGCCTGTGACTAAAATGAATACAAGATTTGTTCAACCTCAGTTTTAATCCCTTGATAAGATAGTAGCTATGTAGCTAAGCGCCCTTGCTGCAGCCATGGTAGGTCTGTGATTTGAACACAATAATAATAATAATAATAATAATAGGTTTCATTTTGACTCCTTGACTTCTCTACTAACTCAAGTTAGTTTTCACAAAATTAGATTTCGTGAGATTTAAGTCAGATGTATTTCCTTACAATCAATGCAGGGCCATTGGTAGCAGCCCAGGATGCTACTGAGGACGAGGAGGCAGCTGATGAAGATGATGTTGACGTGAACGCAGAGGATGAGGATGACGAGGCAGAAGTTGAAGATGATGAAAATACGGAATTGGTAAGAGATTAGGCTACTTTTGTCTGCCTCCCTAGTTTCTAATCTGTCCTGAGGCTTTTTTTGTAAAACAAAATATCGGAACGTCTCCTTTGTATATTTTAGACGGAAGAAAAAGAGGAAGAGGAGGAAGAAGCCATAGGAGGAGATGTGAAAGCCTCCCCCAATGCTGACACCACCATCCTCTTCGTCAAAGGAGATGGTAGGAGTACGGGCACAGACTAGGGCTCGTCTCAACCTATCTGCATGTTGAATTTTACACTTAATTTCCTCATGATTGTTTTGAACTGCTTGTTTTCACTTCAATTCTAGGACTATGACTTGTATTTGTAGATGGATTGACTTAGCTACGATGCTTAGGATATAATATGTTGTTTCAACCTCCTTATTTGAGTGCATTTATTGCACGTTGCACTGAACAAAGGTATGCTCAATTACTTGAATGAAAAGGAATTAATCTTATTCTGATAAGCCTTCAAATTCACCATAAAGCCACCACTCCTACTCTTCTGTTGCTCTTTCTCCTGGCTTTTGCCGTCAGACTTCCCAGCCAACGACATTGTGAAGTTCCTGATGGGCTTCACCAACAAAGGCAGCGACAACTTTGTGGTGGAGTCGCTGGATGCATCCTTCCGCTACCCTCAGGACTTCCAGTTCTACATCCAGAACTTCACAGCCCTGCAGCTGGGCATAGTGGTGCCTGCCGGGCGCCAGGCCACATTCGAGTACTCTTTCATCCCTGCCGAGCCCATGGGCGGGCGCCCCTTCGGCCTGGTTATCAACCTCAACTACAAGGACAGCAACGTAAGTCAGCCATTTTGTGGTAGTCTTTTTCACAAATGATTGCATATCATTGGTGTCGTTTTTCAGTTTCCCATCTCTTGGCAAGTGTTGAGATATTTACATTTACATTTTAGTCATTTAGCAGACGCTCTTATCCAGAGCGACTTACTGTTAGTGAATACATATTTTTTTATACTGCCCCCCCGTGGGAATCGAACCCACAACCCTGGCGTTGCAAACGCCATGCTCTATCAACTGAGCTACATCCCTGAGATATAACAACATCTAGCTGCAAAGCTTCTTTCATTAATGTTATATTAGGAAATTATAGTGGAAATTATTTTAACTCGTGGTGTGTGGCTGAAGTCTGAGGTTGCACTTTTAATGAAGCCGGAAAAGATGAAGGATAGTTCACCAGCTGGAGGTGATATCTGAGCCTCTCCCTTGCACCTCTCTCTCTCAGGGTAACTTGTTCCAGGATGCTGTATTCAACCAGACAGTGACCATCACAGAGAGAGAGGACGGACTGGACGGAGAGACGTAAGTGAGACCAGATGGACTAGCCCTGTGTTGGAAGACATTCAGAAGGGCTAAATGAAACCACTCTATTGGGAATGGCTGCCAAACAAACAGCCGCCACACCAGGTGTGTCTTAACTCTTCGCTCTCTTCTGTATCTCTAGGATCTTCATGTATGTGTTCCTGTCTGGTCTGGGCCTGCTGGTGGTGGTAGGCCTTCATCAACTGCTGGAGTCCAGAAAGGTAAAGCTACAAAGCCCATGCCAATGAATGCAGAAGAAAAATAATGAATTAAAGCTGCAATATGTAACTTTTTGGGCGACCTGACCAAATTCAGATAGAAATGAGTTGTAGTTCTGTCATTCTCATTGAAAGCATCTCTAAGAAGCGGTAGATCTGTTCTTTGTGCACTTTTTCTATGCTTCCCGTTCTTAAGTTTCGTTTTTGCGTCTTTTACTTTTGTTTTGTACACCAGCTGAAAATACAATATTTTTGGTTATGGACAATATATTTCACAGTGGTTTAGATGATACAATGATTCTCTACACTATACTTTCTTTTTTTTTGTCACTAACTGAAATTAGGTGAACTATTAGAATTTTAGCAACCAGGAAGTGGCGGAGTGATTTCTGCGTAGTGCACCTTTAAGCATATTATTCCTTTGTTTATGTGTGTGGTTTCCTCGTTTTTCCAAGAATGATTCGAAGACTGAAAGATATGTACATTTTCGATAGCTTTGCTGAAGCAATTCACCATGACAAGATTTATATCGAATGTTGGTAGATGAGCAGTCCAGAGAAAGGAATTAGGAGATGCCTCTTCACATTCAACAGTGGGATTCTCCCAGTTCAGATTGTCAGTTGATGAGTCAATGTTCTTCTTTCAGGGTGAACACAGTGAGAGTCAGAAAAGGATTCGAGCTAGTTCCACCATTTCTCTGAGGAACATGGAGGTAGACAGGGAAAGAGGAGGTGCCAATTTACAACTTTTGGCGAGTTCGGTTTCAGCTATTTCGTTGAAAAGCAAGAATGAGGGCAAAATGGATGTATACTACTACTACGAAAGAAAAATGACTAGAGGAACAATGTTGAAAAGGCCATGGGTGTGGAAGATGGGTTTTGGGGATTGTTTTTCAATGTTGTTTTGAGAAAGTTCAAGTCTTTAACCCACACTAGAACATTTCAGAAGACTGAGGGGAAAATGCTGAAGAAGGGTTAAGGGTGTGCAAGACCATTTTAGGGTTTGGTTTCTGTAGAAGTCTAGTGAAAGTATAAGTTTCGTGGCTTCCTCTTTTGTTTGGTCACTTCCTCTTGTGTCCCCCACACCCTGTGCAGAGGAGGAGGCCAGCTGCCAAGGTGGAGATGGGCACGTCCAGCCACAACGATGTGGACATGAGCTGGATTCCCCAGGAGACCCTTAACCAGATCAGTAAGTCCCCACCACACCACTCACTCACTCAACATTATGCTAGCTAGTAGTCACAGGGGAGCTAGCTGTTTTATTAGCCACAGGACATTATGCTAGCTAGTAGCTACAGGGGAACTAGCTGTTTATGCTAGCCAATAACCACAGGACATTATGCTAGCTAGTAGCCACAGGGGAGCTAGCTGTTTTATGCTAGCCATTAACCGCAGGACATTATGCTAGCTAGTAGCCACAGGGGAGCTAGCTGTTTTATGCTAGCCATTAACCGCAGGACATTATGCTAGCTAGTAGCCACAGGGGAGCTAGCTGTTTTATGCTAGCCATTAACCACAGGACATTATGCTAGCTAGTAGCCACAGGGGAGCTAGCTGTTTTATGCTAGCCATTAACCACAGGACATTATGCTAGCTAGTAGCCACAGGGGAGCTAGCTGTTTATGCTAGCCATTAGCCACTGGGGATCCAGCACCTTCAACAGCTCTGCCTAGGTTACTAACAGTGTAAAGTGAAATATATGGGTATATCTTAGATTGGGCTGCATAAGTGAATGATAAAAATGTTTTGAAGCTACAGTGTCAAATTAAATGTGTTTAAGAGCTGCTATGCCCCGTCCTTGCTGTGGTCCTCTCTCTATAGCCTACATGTACCTCTATTGTGCAATCGCCTCTAGTTCACCACCTGCTGTCAGCTTTGTAACGTTGCAATGTTTCCATAGATGCCTGTTGTCGTCTTTGGGGGTATTTAGCTTTTCTAGAATTCTCTCTTTTGGCTGGTGTTTCAAAACGACCTGTTCTCTCTCTGTGCATGGGGTCATTCACTCTTTTTTTTTCTCTCTCCCTCTCTCTTTCCTTGCGTCTTTAGTGCAGAGTCGGCGAGGTGAGGCTTCCCTTTCTCTCAGGAGTGAACGGTAGTAGAGTAGTAGTTTAGCTAAATGTTAAGTTTGCTCTAGTTGTAGTCCTAAAGAACGCATCTGTTTGAATCAACAGCTAATGTAATTAGCATATTCAGAAGCACCTATATCTCATTGCTTCATGTTAGTCTCTGTTGTAGCATCTATGGTCACTCAGTTGGCTATGGTCACTGACATCAATCCCTAGCCCCTACCCCGAGACACTCCTCATAGGTCTGAAAGGGTCAATTAGATATAGGCAAATATGGTGATAGTGGTCTGGAGTTTCTACCATATTGCTTAAACTCATCCGATTCTTACAGATCTACAAGATGCGGCTAGGTGTTGATTTTAGACTGTGCCTATGCAAAAAGTATTTGTAAGATCTCCTCCATATCTGATCCAAAGAGTCTAACAAGGACATCAGCTGCAAACCTACCCTAAAACTCTCCTGTCGTTTCCCCAGACAAGGCTTCCCCCAGACGATCTCCCCGCAAGCGGACACAGAAGCGCTCTGCTGGTTCGGACGAGTGATGGGCCCCCCCGCCCAGTTCTGCCAGTGGCGCTTGACACCTGACGCACCCATAGCACCACCCTGCGCCAATCTTGTCAGCCGGGGAGAGGCAACAGCCTTCTTTCACCACAGAACCAAGTACCATCCTCTTCACAAGAGGCTGGTTTCTACCGCTAAACTAGACAATAAATACCAAACGGACCCATTTTTTTATTCTGTCGAGGCGTTATTATCACAGAGGTGTTGTGATGAAGAAACGGTTAATGCATTTTGAGTGAGTTTTTGTGAAGATTAAAGTCCTGAAAGATCAAGATGGTGTGGGTGGGGAAGGGGGGGAGGGGTGTTAGAGCTAGGTAATTGAAAGTGGTGGATGATACACCAGTTTTTTTTTTTTTTTCTTCTAGGTTTTTTTGGGGGTTGCGACTGCTTTTCCTTTTTTGACCCATGGATATCTTTTTGAGGCAGAATAGTGATTGTTGTTTTTGGTATCCCGGAAAGCCATGATTACACACCCCTTGTCTTCAAAAAAAAATGTTTTGCACTGGTTAATATCTACTCATTTGTGTTTTTGTCACATTGTTGTCCTCTGCTGCTTGGTGGCACAGAGGATGGCCGGCTTTGAATCTTGTCATTTGAAGTGCACTGCAACGTTCGGCCATCTTTCAGAGCTTGGATGATTCTGTGAAGACATGAGTATATTGTAAACGGTCTTCTTTTGTCCTCCAATGTGCCTGTGAAAAAAACAAACATGTTTTGTCTCATTTACTGTAAATTTGCATTCTACATATTTCAGGCTCGATTTATGTCAAATACAAGTTTGAATTCAGTATTTAATTTTAGATCTGAATAAAGCACTGGTGTGTGTGTGTGTGTGTGTGTATATATTGATGAGTGCACTGCAAAGCTAATTTAGTTTCTTGATTTGTCTGGAATTACAACTCGTGCATTTTACAGGCACAGTACATTTACTACTGTATTGCAAGGCCCCCCATTTCATAAACATCTGAGAGGGGCTTTGGGCTAACTGTTCGGCACTGACTTTCAAGGACTGTCAAATTTGTGAAAACAAATGTTCGCAATTAAATCTTCCTTCCCCCCCCCTTTCTATTGTTTGATTCATGGCATCTTTCACTGAGCTTTTTAATGACCATTTGAGAATAGATGGATTCCAAATTGATTTTTGATCTGTATATCAACTTTTAATGAAAACATATTGTAGTAAACTTGGTACAATTTTTGAAATTGCATTGCTTAAAAATAAATAACCTTTTAAAAAGTAAAATGCAGTGCGATGTCTGCGCATTGTGGTTTGTTTGAATCCCGGGCCTGTATCCACAAAAGAGTCTCAGTGTAGGAGTGCTGATCTAGGATCTGACCATATAATCTTATTCATTATGATTTAAAAGGCAAAACTGATCCTAGATCAGCACTCAGACGCTTTGTGGCTACGGCCCCGGCCTTAGAGATACACTATGTGACCAAAGGTATGTGGACACTTGCTTGTCGAACATCTCATTCCAAAATCATGGGAGTTGGTCGCCCCTTTGCTGCTTTAACAGCCTCAACTTTTCTGGGAAAGCTTTCCACTAGATGTTGGAACATTGCTGCGGGGACTTGCGTCCATTCAGCCACAAGCATTAGTGAGGTCCGGCACTGATGTTGGCGTGCCAATTCATCCCAAAGGTGTTCGATGGGGTTGAGGTCAGGGCCAGTCAAGTTCTTCCACACCGATCTCGACAAACCATTACTATTAAAAGTCAACTTTGGGCACGAAAAACAGTGCCACCTCTTTCAAAATTTTCAAACAGAAATGGAGTTTGTTCATAGATGTTTAATTCTGGCCATGCGCGCCGCGACCGAAATAGCTAGTTAGTCAGCTAATGATGCTTTCAAGACAACAGGGAGCTCTGAAGAAAATAAATATGTAAAATCATGTCGTCAGTGATCTTCAAGTCAGAAAGTTCTAGAAAGATACCCGAGTTTCCATCTTGGAATTCCGAGTTGGATGACCGTTCACAAAATTGTTCCCCAGTCATTATTTAAATTTGTTTGAGTTCCCAGTTGTTTTGAACGCACTTAAGTCAGAAGTCGTTGATTTCCGAGTTCCCAGTTGTTTTGAACACAGCATAAGCTAGCCACTATAGCTAGCCAGTAACTCCTCCAGTAGGTCTACACTATTTATACAAGAGTATGTTTACTAGATACACTATATATATATATAAAAGTATGTGGACACACATTCAAATTCGTGGATTCGGCTGTTGCATCCACACCCGTTGCTGACAGGTGTATAAAATAGAGCACACAATCTCCATAGACAAACATTGGCAGTAGAATGGCCTTACTGAAGAACTCGGTGACTATCAACAGGCACCATCATAGGATGCCACCTTTTCAACAAGTCAGTTTGTCAAATTTCTGCCCTGCTAGAGCTGCCCCGGTCAACTGTAAGCGCTGTTATTGTGACGTTGAAAGTCTAGAAGCAACAACGGCTCTGCCACACAAGATCACAGAACAGGACCGCTGAGTTCTGAAACGCGTAGCATGTATAAAATCATCTGTCCTCGGTTGCAACACACACTACCGAGTTCCAAACTGCCTTTGGAAGCAAAGTAAGCACATTAACTGTTTGTCTGGAGCTTCATGAAGTGGGTTTCCATGGCCGAGCTGCCGCACACAAACCTAAGATCACTCTGCGCAAAGCCAAGCGTCGGCTGGAGTGGTGTAAAGCTCGCCGCCATTGGACTCTGGAGCAGTGGAAACGCGTTCTCTGGAGTGATGAATCACAATTAACCATCTGGCAGTCCGAATCTGTGTTTGGCGGATGCCAGGAGAATGCTACCTGCTCCAATGCATAGTGCCAACTGTAAAGTTTGGTGGAGGAGGAATAATGGTCTGGGGCTGTTTTTCATGGTTTGGGCTAGGCCCCTTAGTTCCAGTGAAGTATAAAAAAAAAAAAATGTATGCACTCACTAACTGTAAGTCGCTCTGGATAAGATGACTAAAATGTAAGGGAAATTTTAACACTACAGCATACAATGACATTCTAGACGATTCTGTGCTTCCAACTTTGTGGCTACAGTTTGTGGAAGGCCCTTTCCTGTTTCAGCATGACAATGACCCGTGCACAAAGTGAGGTCCATACAGAAATGTTTTGTTGATCGGAGTGGAAGAACTTGACTGGCCTGCACAGAGCCCTGACCTCAACCCCATCGAACACCTTTAGGATAAATTGGCACGCCAACTGCAAACCAGGCCTAATCGCCAACATCAGTGCCGGACCTCACTAATGCTCTTGTGGCTGAATGGAAGCAAGTCCTCACAGCAATGTTCCAACATCTAGTGGAACGCATTCCCAGGAGAGTGGAGGCTGTTATAGCAGCAAAGGGGGGACCAACGTTTTTTAAATGAGATGTTTGACAAGCAGGTGTCCACATACCTTTGGTCATGTAGTGTATCTCTGGACTTGTGGAATGGTGTGCATGTATAAAGTGAGTTGTGTATTTGCAGAGATCTTGTCTGTATTTGACAAATAAAGTTTAATATACATGACATCTAAAACACAAATATAAATGATGTATTCACAGGACCTGAGTTTGAGAACCTGGAGTATCTCTTTTGTTTATTTGATCGTCCAAGAAATCGCCCCAAAGCTTCAGGTTAGAGGGTCGTTCCACGAAATGAGTCCCTTTTACATGCCTTTGATAGGTTAAGTAGAAATTGTGCCTGATATATTAAATGAAGTGAACTTTAATATAGACCACATGGGAAATTCTATAAATCTGATTTTTAATATGAATAAAGAAATGCCGCATTTTGACATGTCCCTCTGTGCACTCTATGACTTCTCTGAAGATTTTAGCCCCAAAATGTCTTAAGTTTTCACCATCATTGTAAAGCCCCAGTTTTTTTTTCATGTGATTAGTCATTCATTTTAAGGTTTAAAAAAACAACCTGTCCCTCATTTTAAGGTCAACCCTGTTACATGAACTGAACTCTCATTTTAATATGGTGTAACTATTCCTTATTCAAAATAAACATTAAACATCTAATAGTCAAATCATAGTGTAATAGCAGGTGAGCTGGTTCTACTCCTTTTGGCCATTTTCTGGTGTTTTGTGGTGGAAAACTGAGTGGGTTGAGCATAACACGTTGTCAACCCTGTAACCCATAGATAGACAGGCTAGAAAGTTCTTACAATTACATTTTTGGGGGGAAACTTGCATTCAATTGCTCCTCCCTGTTTGCACACAACAAGCTTCTATTCCTCCTGTCACAAGGGGATGTATAGCTGATTTAAGATAAAATCGTCCACCCAGTTACCCATTGATAGACAGGCTAGAAAGTTTTAATAATTCACATTTTTTGATGAAGCTTACATTTACATTTAAGTCATTTAGCAGACACTCTTATCCAGAGCGACTTAGTTAGTGAGTGCATACATTTTCATACTGGCCCCCTGTGGGAATCAATTGTCCCTCCCTGTTTGCACACAACAAGCTTCCATTCCCCGCTCACAAGGGGATGTATGGCTGATTTAAGATCATTATTTGGCACTTACTATAGTCATTTCTTTAATTTCACCCATTGAGATGGGAAAACGTGTTTTTTATTAAATTAACCAAGTTACACTACCAAAAAGGGACTCATTTCATGGAACGACCCTATACAGTAAAAAAATAAAAATAAATGGGAACCACTTGGGCATGGGCGAATGCTGACTGAGTACGTTCACTTTGCACCCTACATTCATTCACTTACTTGATTGATTCACAGTGTATAGGATAGGGTTGACCGGAACCGTAATATGCTGGCTTGGATATTTTCTTTTCACATTGTTCACACTTTCCAGAACCTTGAGGCCACTTCCACGCTCAGATTGCACAACTGATGTACACATATTGGACTCAATGGTTGTGATTCAACAGATATTTTTGCGATACAACCAAGGGTTTGTCTGCACAAAAACTTTACACAATCATTGTGTGTCTCCAAAACAGCTCTGAAAACATTTTTGTAAAGACAAACTGTTGTATCACAACTGTTGTGTCTAATGTGTTGTAGAGTGTGAGTGTGTACAGGGCCATACATAGTGTAAAACAGAATTCATAGTACAGGTGATCAATGCAGGTTTGTGCCAGACAATAAAAGACACCACCAGGCCAGTTTGATTCACACCTTTCCTTAATATATCTTTATTGCTTAAATTTTTTCGACACAGAACAGCTTACATTTCTGATTCTGAAGCACTGTAATACCAGGAGGGAGGGGAGCAGTGTAGCTAACGTTAAAGGTTCTGATCAAAGTCCATTTATGGGGTGAGTTCTGGTGTGGCCGTAGCATTGACACAAAGTTCCCTTCAACAAAGGGTCAGAACGTCAGACAGTGACACAGCCACTTTCATTGGTCTTTACAGAGTCACGATTTAAATCCTCGTCAAACGAGAGAGGTTGATACGGTGAGGGAGGGGGTAAAAATGTATAATCAATCAAAATCAGACAAAAAAAAGAAAGAAAAACATTGTTTATGGGTATACTATTAAAAAAGAATGCTGCTGACAGCACACTCTCAACCACGAGGATTTGAGCACAAGCTCATTTTCTCTGTTCTGCTGATTTGAGTTCACAGTCAAGTGCTAAATGTAGTGATTGAGTTTTAATCGTAAAAAAAAATCATTACTTGTAAGAACTTCTTGCAACTCAGGAAAATGAAGTATTGAATATGCATTTTATAAAGACCCTGAGAGCAAGATGGAGAGAAAAAAAGAAATCATCCATAATCGAACAAATTAGGGTTACATGAAAAACAAGCCTAAAACTCACCCATTATCTGAAACACAATGAATTTCACAGTTTTATACGTATTTATATATCTGAGAACAAAACAAAAAATCTTAGCCAAACTAAAAATAATAAACAAAACAAAAATAGACACGCACAGTCTATAAACACATACAAAGGTCTACATAAAGCTTTCGAATCAATAGTGATTATTGCTAATAGAAGTCCCGGGCCGATGCTGGGCGACCATTTTGTGGATTTCAATCCGTTATTCTCTGCAGCATCAATGTGGTAATAATACATGGCTTCTCCTCAAGTCACATCTATTCACCCCTCACCGGATTTCCAAATAAATACAATAAAAACAGTCCATGTGCATTCTTATGGGACTCATAATCATACACCCACACAGGGTCAAAGGTACAAATGAGATAAGTTGAGTGAGTCCCTTAACACAGTGTTTTTTTTAGAAAACAATTGCATTTAGCATTCTATTTTGACAATACTTTCCCTGTGCCTGAGAGCAGGGTTGGGATGGGGGCGATACTGGGGTACGGCCACTAGAGGGCAGACTTCTTTCTGCATGGAGTACTAGCCTCGCCACCTGTCAATGCGCATCACCCCCTCCTTTCCCCTCCACTTAATACTCTGTGTTACGTTCAAGTTCCAAACACAGCTCAGAAATTCACTTCAGTTCATTCTCTCTCTGATTGCCGTAGTAGGTTTGTTTGTATTTTGTTAGTGCCATATGGGCAGTTGTCTGGCGGCGGCTGACTAGTCCAGCGCTCTCTGCTCTCGGTCCGTCAGCCTCCAGCCAGCCGATGCTGCCTGCGTCTTACTGCGCCATGAGGTTTGATTTGTTTGCTTCTGAGGTTTTTAAAAAATATAAAATGAGAAGAAAGAAGAAAAAACACAGGAAAAAAAGGAAATACTTTTAGATAAACTTCAACCCGGCAAGGTGACATGATTGACATTTGAGTCCCACCTCGGAAAGATGCTCTGGGCTGGGGGGTGGAAGGAGGGGCGAGTGGGGTGGTGGAAGGAGGGGCGAGTGAGGTGGTGGAAGGAGGGGCGAGTGAGGTGGTGGAAGGAGGGGCGAGTGAGGTGGTGGAAGGAGGGGCGAGTGGGGTGGTGGAAGGAGGGGTGAGTGGGGTGGTGGAAGGAGAGGTGAGTGGGGTGGTGGAAGGAGGGGTGAGTGGGGTGGTGGAAGGAGGGGTGAGTGGGGTGGTGGAAGGAGGGGTGAGTGGGGTGGTGGAAGGAGGGGTGAGTGGGGTGGTGGAAGGAGGGGTGAGTGGGGTGGTGGAAGGAGGGGTGAGTGGGGTGGTGAAAGGAGGGGTGAGTGGGGTGGTGGAAGGAGGGGTGAGTGGGGTGGTGGAAGGAGGGGTGAGTGGGGGTGGTGGAAGGAGGGGTGAGTGGGGTGGTGTTAGGAGGCTGCCTGAAGGGAGGCAGCAGGGCTACAAAAGTTCAAGTAGACAAAACCGACAAAAAACTGAGTGGTGTTCCACCTAGAGCACGAGGTGAGTTCTGCATCCAAATAACCTAGCAGAACCACAGGTAGGGCTCTAAGAACACAGTGACGGTTGGTTTTGGAAGACATCTAAAGTAGCCGCAAGGAAATGAGTTGCCACTAAGGGGGAGGTGGACACAACACAAGCCAGACACACTGGTGGTAGTACAGACAGTACAGAACGCTAGAAGGTGACTGTGAGAGATGGGGGGGTACACATATCAAGCCCTTTTGTTCTGGAATAGTACATTTCCGCAAACACCTTATATACCCCAACCTCTCCTGAACGAATAACACACACACAACCACACAATACTCCCACATGCAACATGGTCAACACATATGAAATTAAATGAGAATGATTCTGAAAAAAAAAAAAAAAAAAAAATTCAGGCAAATATTGCCCATATCATCTATGGCAAATAAAGAGAGCCTAGGGGAAGGGGGCATGTTAAAACAAAACGCAAAAGCAGAGATCTCAGATATGGTACGCTATCCATTGTCAAGTCTGTTTTCTTTGATTTGCCTGTCTCCTAACACCAAATTATGTCACAGTTCATTCATGTATTCTCAATACAACCAGAGAGACTGTAGATGTTGGTTATCAGGGATAAGGGATCATGAGAGAGATAGTAAATCAAGATGAAGGGGAGAGAACAACAGTCTTTTTTCAGGACACCTTTGTGACAGGTATCTGCTATAGCTGTGTTTCCAGTTACATAAGTGACTTTATCCCCACTGCTTGTGAACTTACTCAGTCTTTTCTCAGTCTCAGCATTGTTTTTAAGGTACGACTGTGGTTTAAATATACAATAACTGTTCTTTTTTTCTGTCACACACTTGATCATTTAATATAAATCGGTCATGTTAAATTTTATTTAATTTATTGCTTATTCAACGTTCATCTCATAGAATCCAAAAACAATTATGTAATCATCATAAAACGCTATAAAAAATTAGATCCTCCATAGATAAATGTAGATAAAGATATAGCAAAAAAACTAACAAAATAGAAGTAGTAAGGCACTTAGAAACAAGGTGTTTCTTCTTGATTTCATCGTCTTGCATTTTTTAGGAGTACTTCTATCTTATGGCACTGCGGCACATACAGTGGTCCACTGCATAAAGAGAACCAGAGACTGGGGTAGGGAGGAGGGAGCCTCCCTCACTCAACGCCCACCAAGGGAGCTTCGCCAGCGGGTAGGATGTGCTCCAGGGAAGGCTTGGTGTGGATCTCCAGTAGGCCTTGGATGAAGCCTTCCGAGGGGCCATCGGGGTCTTTCTCTGGGGTAGTGGGCTGTGGGGCTGGGGACTCTGTGGAAGATTCTTTGGGGGTTTCTGTTGGCGGTTGAGTGGCTGCATTGTCATCTGTTTCTCTAGCCATTTCAGAGGCTGATACCTCAGCGTCTAGTTCTACAGCTGTTTCAGAGGGGCCGTCTGAGGATTGTTCTACAGATGGGTCAGGAACGGATTCAGAGACTGGTTCCGAGGCCGGTTCCGAGTCTGCTTCCGTGACTGGCTCAACGAGCGGCTCAGCAATGGCCTCTGTAGCGGACTCTGACTGGGCTGGTTCAGTGGTGGACAGGGACTGGGCCTGGAATATGGGGCCCGGCAGAGGGGCCTCTTTCTCAGTTCCCTCGCCTCCCTCCTCCCTGGCCCCTCCGGTGCTTTCGCTCTCGTTCTCTGAAGGGGGGCAGGTGCTGGTGGGGGTGCACTCTCCCTCCTCACTAGCTGAGTCTCCGGCCGGGGCCTCTGCCCCGTTGGCATCAGCTTCTTCTGCCCCCTCGCTACCCCGTGGCTTCAGGTGGATCCGCTGGTGCCTCACCAGGCTGTGCTTCAGGGTGAAGGTGCGCTCGCACGTCTGGCACTTGTAGGGCCTCTCACCTGAAGAAAAACACAAACATGTACATCATTATTTACACCAGAACAGGGACAGGTAAAACATATCTTTAAAGAAGGTAAAGCTACAACAATAAATGCATAAAGAAATAGCTGATAGTATCAACCAGGGGCGCAACTTTCACTGGGGATGGGAGGAGGGACATGTCCCCCCCACATTCTGAAATTACATTTTTGTCCCCCACAGTTTTATAATTGGAATGTGATGCAAAAACGATGCAACAGTGTGCTTTAGGACCATGCAGACGCCTCCGAGCGGTCGGGTAGGCTGTTTGGAGTGCCTATCCGACCGGATAAAAAAAAATATATATACTGCTCAAAAAAATTAAGGGAACACTAAAATAACACATCCTAGATCTGAATGAATGAAATAATCTTATTAAATACTTTTTTCTTTACATAGTTGAATGTGCTGACAACAAAATCACACAAAAATTATCAATGGAAATCAAATTTATCAACCCATGGAGGTCTGGATTTGGAGTCACCCTCAAAATTAAAGTGGAAAACCACACTACAGGCTGATCCAACTTTGATGTAATGTCCTTACAACAAGTCAAAATGAGGCTCAGTAGTGTGTGTGGCCTCCACGTGCCTGTATGACCTCCCTACAACGCCTGGGCATGCTCCTGATAAGGTGGCAGATGGTCTCCTGAGGGATCTCCTCTCAGACCTGGACTAAAGCATCCGCCAACTCCTGGACAGTCTGTGGTGCAATGTGGCGTTGGTGGATGGAGCGAGACATGATGTCCCAGATGCGCTCAATTGGATTCAGGTCTGGGGAACGGGCGGGCCAGTCCATAGCATCAATGCCTTCCTCTTGCAGGAACTGCTGACACACTCCAGCCACATGAGGTCTAGCATTGTCTTGCATTAGGAGGAACCCAGGGCCAACCGCACCAGCATATGGTCTCACAAGGGGTCTGAGGATCTCATCTCGGTACCTAATGGCAGTCAGGCTACCTCTGGCGAGCACATGGAGGGCTGTGCGGCCCCCCAAAGAAATGCCACCCCACACCATGACTGACCCACCGCCAAACCGGTCATGCTGGAGGATGTTGCAGGCAGCAGAACGTTCTCCACGGCGTCTCTAGACTCTGTCACATGTGCTCAGTGTGAACCTGTTTTCATCTGTGAAGAGCACAGGGCGCCAGTGGCGAATTTGCCAATCTTGGTGTTCTCTGGCAAATGCCAAACGTCCTGCACGGTGTTGGGCTGTAAGCACAACCCCCACCTGTGGACGTCGGGCCCTCATACCACCCTCATGGAGTCTGTTTCTGACCGTTTGAGCAGACACATGCACATTTGTGGCCTGCTGGAGGTCATTTTGCAGGGCTCTGGCAGTGCTCCTCCTGCTCCTCCTTGCACAAAGGCGGAGGTAGCGGTCCTGCTGCTGGGTTGTTGCCCTCCTACGGCCTCCTCCACGTCTCCTGATGTACTGGCCTGTCTCCTGGTAGCGCCTCCATGCTCTGGACACTACGCTGACAGACACAGCAAACCTTCTTGCCACAGCTCGCATTGATGTGCCATCCTGGATGAGCTGCACTACCTGAGCCACTTGTGTGGGTTGTAGACTCCGTCTCATGCTACCACTAGAGTGAAAGCACCGCCAGCATTCAAAAGTGACCAAAACATCAGCCAGGAAGCATAGGAACTGAGAAGTGGTCTGTGGTCACCACCTGCAAAACCAGTCCTTTATTGGGGGTGTCTTGCTAATTGCCTATAATTTCCACCTGTTGTCTATTCCATTTGCACAACAGCATGTGAAATGTATTGTCAATCAGTCTTGCTTCCTAAGTGGACAGTTTGATTTCACAGAAGTGTGATTGACTTGGAGTTACATTGTGTTGTTTAAGTGTTCCCTTTATTTTTTGAGCAGTATATATATATCTATATACAGTGGGGAAAAAAAGTATTTAGTCAGCCACCAATTGTGCAAGTTCTCCCACTTAAAAAGATGAGAGAGGCCTGTAATTTTCATCATAGGTACACGTCAACTATGACAGACAAAATTAGGAAAAGAAATCCAGAAAATCACATTGTAGGATTTTTAATGAATTAATTTGCAAATTATGGTGGAAAATAAGTATTTGGTCAATAACAAAAGTTTCTCAATACTTTGTTATATACCCTTTGTTGCCAATGACACAGGTCAAACGTTTTCTGTAAGTCTTCACAAGGTTTTCAACACACTGTTGATGGTATTTTGGCCCATTCCTCCATGCAGATCTCCTCTATAGCAGTGATGTTTTGGGGCTGTCGCTGGGCAACACGGACTTTCAACTCCCTCCAAAGATTTTCTATGGGGTTGAGATCTGGAGACTGGCTAGGTCACTCCAGGACCTTGAAATGCTTCTTACGAAGCCACTCCTTCGTTGCCCAGGCGGTGTGTTTGGGATCATTGTCATGCTGAAAGACCCAGCCACGTTTCATCTTCAATGCCCTTGCCGATGGAAGGAGGTTTTCACTCAAAATCTCACGATACATGGCCCCATTCATTCTTTCCTTTACACGGATCAGTCGTCCTGGTTCCTTTGCAGAAAAACAGCCCCAAAGCATGATGTTTCCACCCCCATGCTTCACAGTAGGTATGGTGTTCTTTGGATGCAACTCAGCATTCTTTGTCCTCCAAACACGACGAGTTGAGTTTTTACCAAAAAGTTCTATTTTGGTTTCATCTGACCATATGACATTCTCCCAATCCTCTTCTGGATCATCCAAATGCACTCTAGCAAACTTCAGACGGGCCTGGACATGTACTGGCTTAAGCAGGGGGACACGTCTCGCACTGCAGGATTTGAGTCCCTGGCGGCGTAGTGTGTTACTGATGGTCGGCTTTGTTACTTGGGTCCCAGCTCTCTGCAGGTCATTCACTAGGTCCCCCCGTGTGGTTCTGGGATTTTTGCTCACCGTTCTTGTGATCATTTTGACCCCACGGGGTGAGATCTTGCGTGGAGCCCCAGATCGAGGGAGATTATCAGTGGTCTTGTATGTCTTCCATTTCCTAATAATTGCTCCCACAGTTGATTTCTTCAAACCAAGCTGCTTACCTATTGCAGATTCAGTCTTCCCAGCCTGGTGCAGGTCTACAATTTTGTTTCTGGGGTCCTTTGACAGCTCTTTGGTCTTGGCCATAGTGGAGTTTGGAGTGTGACTGTTTGAGGTTGTGGACAGGTGTCTTTTATACTGATAACAAGTTCAAACAGGTGCCATTAATACAGGTAACGAGTGGAGGACAGAGGAGCCTCTTAAGAAGTTACAGGTCTGTGAGAGCCAGAAATCTTGCTTGTTTGTAGGTGACCAAATACTTATTTTCCACCATAATTTGCAAATAAATTCATTAAAAATCCTACAATGTGATTTTCTGGATTTTTTTTTCTAAATTTGTCTGTCATAGTTGACGTGTACCTATGATGAAAATTACAGGCCTCTCTCATCTTTTTAAGTGGGAGAACTTGCACAATTGGTGGCTGACTAAATACTTTTTTCCCCCACTGTATATATATATCTCTACATATACACAGTCAAAGCTTTGGACACACCTACTCATTCAAGTTTTTATTTATTTAAAACTATTTTCTACATTGTCTTTGTGAGACGCAGTGTAGGTGAACGAATGATCTCCGCATGTGTAGTTCCCACAGTGAAGCATGGAGGAGGAGGTGTGATGGTGTGGGGGTGCTTTGCTGGTGACACTGTCTGTGATTTATTTAGAATTCAATGCACACAGCATTCTGCAGTGATACGCCATCCCATCTGGTTTGGGCTTAGTGGGACAATCATTTGTTTTTCAACAGGACAATGACCCAACACACCTCCAGGCTGTGTAAGGGCTATTTGACCAAGAAGGAGAGTGATGGAGTGCTGCATCAGATGACCTGGTCTCCACAATCCCCCGACCTCAACCCAATTGAGATGGTTTGGGATGAGTTTTACTGCAGAGTGAAGGATAAGCAGCCAACAAGTGCTCAGCACATGTGGGTTCTCCTTCAAGACTGTTGGAAAAGCATTCCAGATGAAGCTGGCTGAGAGAATGCCAAGAGTGTGCAAAGCTGTCATCAAGGCAATATATTTAGATTTGTTTAACACATTTTTGGTTACTACATGATTCCATATGTGTTATTTCATAGTTTTGATGTCTTCACTATTAATCCACAATGTAAAAAAATAAGTAAAAATAAAGAAAAACCCTTGAATGAGTAGGTGTGTTCAAACTTTTGACTGGTACTGTATATATAAAAAAAAAACTATATATATATATATATATATACACATACACACACACACAGTGGGGAGAACAAGTATTTGATACACTGCCGATTTTGCAGGTTTTCCTACTTACAAAGCATGTAGAGGTCTGTAATTTTTATTATAGGTACACTTCAACTGTGAGGGACGGAATCTAAAACAAAAATCCAGAAAATCACATTGTATGATTTTTAAGTAATTAATTTGCATTTTATTGCATGACATAAGTATTTGATCACCTACCAACCAGTAAGAATTCCGGCTCTCACAGACCTGTTAGTTTTTCTTTAAGAAGCCCTCCTGTTCTCCACTCATTACCTGTATTAACTGCACCTGTTTGAACTCGTTACCTGTATAAAAGACACCTGTCCACACACTCAATCAAACAGACTCCAACATCTCCAAAATGGCCAAGACCAGAGAGTTGTGTAAGGACAGCAGGGATAAAATTGTAGACCTGCACAAGGCTGGGATGGGCTACAGGACAATAGGCAAGCAGCTTGGTGAGAAGGCAACAACTGTTGGCGCAATTATTAGAAAATGGAAGAACTCCAAGATGACGGTCAATCACCCTCGGTCTGGGGCTCCATGCAAGATCTCACCTCGTGGGGCATCAATGATCATGAGGAAGGTGAGGGATCAGCCCAGAATTACACGGCAGGACCTGGTCAATGACCTGAAGAGAGCTGGGACCACAGTCTCAAAGAAAACCATTAGTAACACACTACGCCGTCATGGATTAAAATCCTGCAGCGCACGCAAGGTCCCCCTGCTCAAGCCAGCGCATGTCCAGGCCCGTCTGAAGTTTGCCAATGACCATCTGGATGATCCAGAGGAGGAATGGGAGAAGGTCATGTGGTCTGATGAGACAAAAATAGAGCTTTTTGGTCTAAACTCCACTCGCCGTGTTTGGAGGAAAAAGAAGGATGAGTACAACCCCAAGAACACCATCCCAACCGTGAAGCATGGAGGTGGAAACATCATTCTTTGGGGATGCTTTTCTGCAAAGGGGATAGGACGACTGCACCGTATTGAGGGGAGGCTGGATGGGGCCATGTATCGCGAGATCTTGGCCAACAACCTCCTTCCCTCAGTAAGAGCATTGAAGATGGGTCGTGGCTGGGTCTTCCAGCATGACAACGACTCGAAACACACAGCCAGGGCAACTAAGGAGTGGCTCCGTAAGAAGCATCTCAAGGTCCTGGAGTGGCCTAGCCAGTCTCCAGACCTGAACCCAATAGAACATCTTTGAAGGGAGCTGAAAGTCCGTATTGCCCAGCAACAGCCCCGAAACCTGAAGGATCTGGAGAAGGTCTGTATGGAGGAGTGGGCTAAAATCCCTGCTGCAGTGTGTGCAAACCTGGTCAAGACCTACAGGAAACGTATGATCTCTGTAATTGCACACAAAGGTTTCTGTACCAAATATTAAGTTCTTTTCTGATGTATCAAATACTTATGTCATGCAATAAAATGCAAATTAATTACTTAAAAATCATACAATGTGATTTTCTGGATTTTTGTTTTAGATTCCGTCTCTCACAGTTGAAGTGTACCTATGATAAAAATGACAGACCTCTACATGCTTTGTAAGTAGGAAAGCCTGCAAATTCGGCAGTGTATCAAATACTTGTTCTCCCCACTGTACATGCTTTGTAAGTAGGAAAACCTGCAAATTCGACAGTGTATCAAATACTTGTTCTCCCCACTGTGTGTATATATATATATATATATATATATATATATATATATATATATATATATATATATATATATATGCCCCACCCCCCCCCCACTTTTAAAACCAAAGTTGCACCCCTGGTATCAACTAGTACCTGTGTGCGAACGCATGTGTCTCGTCAGATCCTGCAGTGACCAGAAGCGTTTGCTGCACACGTTACAGATCTTCTTCCTCTTGTCTGCCTTGCTCCCCGACCCTCTACCCGCCTCTCCTTCAATCTTTGGTTCTGCTGAGCCCCCGTCCTCGTCACTTCTCTCCTCCTTCTTCTCCTCCTCCTCCTCTGAACCGCTGTCCATCACGCTGCCCGCTCCCTCGCTTTCCGGAGCATCCTTCTCTCCCTCCTCCTGATCCTCCTCCAAGGTGGTGGCTGTAGTAGTGTTGGGGAGCTCCTCTGTGGCGGGCCTAATCTCCTCTGTTCCACAAGCCTCTTCGGGGGGTGCACTCTCACACAAGTGTGCCTTCTCGTGGCGAGCCAGGGTGGCGGCGTAGCGGAAGTTTTTCTTGCAGCTCTTGCAGGTGTACTTGGGGGGCTCTTGGTCCTGCTGCTGCTGGGCGTCCGTCACTCTCTCCGGCTCGGCCACCGCTACCACCTTCTCTCCGACCAGAGAGGTCTGGGGCTGCTCGCCTTCCGAAGAGAACTTGAAGTCGATGAGCTTGCTGGCGAAGTTGAGGTCCAAGCTCTTGTTGCTCTGCGAATCGTCGTTGTCGTCATTTTCAATGTTGTTGGGTTGCGGTTCCATCTCCCCTAGCAGCAGCTCAGCAGTGTCTGGTGTTTGGTCTGCGCTGGGCGACTCGGATGCAGAGCTTTTCTGATCGGGGTCCATGCTGCTCAGGTCCAGAGCCTCCCCTGCAGTCTGCTCATTCTCAGAACTCTCTGGAACACACACACAAAATTAACCAGCAAATTACGGATAGATAGGTACAGAATGGTAACCTATAGATCAGACCGTACATTACAGTACAATACAGTACATTACACTACAGTTTCTTACCAGCACTGTCGTGTGAACCCTCGTCGCCGTCCTTGTTCTTGGACATTTGGCCGTTGCGGCGCAGCGAGCGGTTGGTCACGCCGTGCTTGCGCAGCAGGTGGCGCTCACAGTTGGACTTGGTGGAGAAGAAGGCGTCACATTTGGGACAGGGGAAGGGCTTCTGACCTGTAGCCGACAGCACATTAGAGAAGACTGAACGTCACATTAGAAGTATTAGGGACATGTTGTGGACCCACAGGAAGTTGTAAATATGCTAAATGCAAGCAGTTAGAACCTTTAGAAAACCTGTCAAATTAAGAACCATTTTGTAATTGTTGTATAAGATATACGTTTTCTACATTACTGAACAGTATCTTTCAGGTATCATTGCATTGTTTCAACCAAGCTATTTACGTAGGACTTATTATGAGAGCTGTGTGTTAGGTATTTAGGGAGTTATCCAATCTGTGTGTGTGTGTGTGTGTGTGTGTTTCCCTATGGCTTACCTGTGTGTGTGAGCATGTGCCTCTGCAGGGAGCTGGCCCAGGGGAAGACCCGGGGACAGAAGGGACAGGTCATCTTCTGCACTGAGTTGGAGTAGGCATTCTTCTTCCCTCCTTTGGACTGGGGCGGCACAGACTGAGGGGGCGGCTCTTTCTCCTCCTTCTCCTCTCCCGGGCTCTGTCTCCCCTCGTCCCTCCTTCCAAGCTCCGCCGCCCCCGTCCGCAGGTAGGTGCTGAACTTGTTAGCGTCGGTGGTGGCTAGCATCTTCTCCACGCTGGCAAACTCCCCGCTGGACTCCAGGTCCATGCCGCTGTCTGTGTTCTGCTCAGGCATGGGCACACGGGCAGGTGCCATAGTCTTGTCCTGGCTCACTGGCTTCTTCCTAGTGCGCTTTCTGGATGATCCTTCTAGGGGGACCTCTTCCATCGAGGCTTCAGAGCTGTTGTCGCCCCCAACTAGACGCTCCGGTTCTGTCTGGAGGCCGTTGAGGCCGGCGCCAGCCTTTATATCCGGCGTGGGCTCCCTCTTGAGCAAGTCTGGAGCCGTTGAGACGGAGGAGATGATCTGGGCGATGGAAGCCAGAGGAGGAATCTCTTTCAGGGAGGAGGAAGAAGAGGTCGGTTTGGGCAGCAGGGGCTTGAGACGGAGCGCCCGGCCTGTGCCAGTAGGGGTGCTAATGAGCAGTGTAGAGTGGGTCACTGGGGGGAGCTGGTAAGAGCCAGACTGGGCGGTCTTCAGCTTCTCCTCATAGCTCTTGTCCAGCTGAAGAGCCTGGGCTAAGGCGAGGTGGTCCAGTAAGCTGGGGAAGGGCAGCTCCTTTTTGATCTCTCGGCGCTCCACGCTCACCGGGTCAACAGTGGTGGCGTCTCTCTTCAGCCTCTTGTTAGGGTTCTTGGGGATGGACAGGTCAATAGGTTCCATGGAGCAGTCGTAGGCTGCCGGGCTGACCGTCTCCAGTTTGATCCCAGGAGAACCGGCTAGGCTCCCTGCACCGCTGCTGGTCCCACCCACCCCCCGGCTCTTGTTGGAGAAGTCCAAGGGCTGATCCGAGTCACCAGAGGAGGAGTAGATGCTGAGATCCTCCACCTTGACCGGCTGCAGGGTGGCAGTGGGGGTGGGCGTGAGGCCGTTGAGAGCCAGAGGGCTGCTGGGGCTGGCCCTGGAGGTGGTGGCTGTGATGGCGGGGAGAAGGGTGGCGATGTGCTCCTCAATCTCCCGCTCCTGCACCTCGGGGTGCTGCTTGAGCATGTGGTGGATGCAGTTCCTCTTGGCCAGGAAAGCCGCCCCGCAGCGCCGGCACTCAAAGGGCTTGCGCTGGCAGCCGTTGTGGGTGCGCAGGTGGATCTGGAGAGCCCGGTAGGTCTTTAGCTCCTCACCACAAAAGCGGCAGGCAGTGTCGCCGGCGGAAGCCAGCTCCAAGGGATCCTGGGTGGTGGTCGACGAGACATACTTGATGTTCTTCTCGATCTCTTTCCTCGTGTTCTTCATGTGCTTCTTGCGCAGGTGGCGCTCACAGTTGGCCTTGACGGTGAAAGGGTAGTGGCAGACGCGGCAGACGTAGGGGCGCTCGCCGCTGTGTGTGCGCAGGTGGCGGATAAGGGTGGCCTTGTCGGGCGCCACGTAGTCGCAGATGTTGCACTGGTGCGGCAGGATGCCCAGGTGGAAGCGCATGTGCGCCTGCAGCACCCCGGAGTAAACAAACACCTGGTCGCAGAAGCGGCAGGGGTAGGAGGCCTTGACGCCCCCGCGGTTGGCACCCCCTGCCCCCTTCTTCCCCCTGGCCGCCTGGCCCTCCTCTTGTTTGATCTGCAGCTCTGTCGAGTCGTTGGGCACATGGGCGTCGCCCATGCAGTCCGCCTCCATCTGCATCTTCTCCAGGGAGGCCTGGCTGCCCGAGGAAGAGGAGGACGATGACGACGACGATGAAGATGACGAAGATTCTCTGGGCATCTTGAGCAGCTGGCTGGCCGGCGGGGGCAGGCTGGGGCTGATGCAGCCCAAGGAGGCCTGCTGGGTGCTCTGGAGCGGCGGAGGCGTGGAGGCAGCCAGGCTGGAGCGCGGTGCCACCATGGGCTTTGGCTTCAGTGGGGGCATGGGCTTGCAGCCGGCTGCCTGGCCCTGGCCGGACACTCCCCAGTGGGGAGCCTTGGCCAGGGGCGGCAGGAGGCCCATCTGACCGGGGGCGGCCGAGGTCACCTTCAGGATCTGCTGGATGTCAGCCAGCTCCATCAGGCCAGACTCGCCAAACACAGGCTTGACCGAAGCACCACCGCCCGGGTGGAAGAGGAAGCCTGTGGGTAAGGGCTGCAGGGAGAGCAGGCTGAGGGCTTCCCTCTGGGACAGGCCCTGCAGGGACGAGGCCAGGGACGAGGCCGCCACCAAGCCCAGGCCGCCGAGGAAACCCGCAGCCGCAGAATCCGCCTCCTGTGGCTGGGTGGAGGCCGGAGGCTCCACTTGGATGACCCGGATGCTGTCCAGCTGGGCTTGCTGGACCTCATCCGCCGAAGGCTGAACCTTGACCTGGGAGATGTGCTGCAGACCCAGGGACTCCAGGAAGCTGGCCTGCTGAGGGGCCAGGGTTGCTGGCTTCTCCTGGGCGCCCCCTGTGGGTGACGGCTGCTGCTGCTGATGCATGGTGCAGGTCTTCTTGTGCAGGTCCAGGGCCGAGTGCAGGGGGAATCCTTTGTCGCATGCTTCACACACGAAGCGGTGGAACTTGCTGGTGCACCGGCGGAGGTTGGTCTCACACCATACCTGTTGGAGAGACAGATAGGGGGTTAGAGTGTGGAAGAGTAGACTGATATCTCGTGTGATAGATGACCAACATACTACCAGTATCAGTTTCATAATCATAATAATGTGTGGTATCAGTATCAGTAGCATTGTGAGCATTAGCAACATTATTTTGTCCATCATTTCTCCTCTGACCTGGGCGATGTGAGGAAACTTGCAGCAGGAGAAGTCGATGAAGGCCAGGTCGTTGAAGCCAGAGGGGATGGAGGGGTTGTTCTGGATGAAGGGCCGTCCGCCGTGGTCTGTGGGCAGCTGCTTGTGGATGCCAGCATTGTGCCGCAGAAGGCCGCGATGGGTCCGGAAAGAGAGGCAGCACAGGTCACACCTAGAGACAAGACATAGAGAGATGATATATTTAAGCAATAAGGCCCGGGGGGGTGTGGTATATGGCCAATATACCACGGCTAAGGGCTGTTCTTATGCACAACGCAACGCGGTGTGCCTGGATACAGGCCTTAGCCGTGGTATATTGGCCATATACCACAAACCCCAGAGGTGCCTTATTACTATTATAAACTAGTTACCAATGTAATTAGAGCAGTAAAAATAAATGTTTAGTCATACCAGGGTATACAGTCTGATATACCACGGCTGTCAGCCAATGAGCATTCAGGGCTCGAACCACCCAGTTTATAAAAGATGATATACAGTTGAAGTCGGAAGATTACATACACTTAGGTTGGAGTCATTAAAACTAGTTTTTCAACCACTCCACACATTTCTTGTTAACAAACTATAGTTTTGGCAAGTCGGTTAGGACATCTACTTTGTGTATGACACAAGTCATTTTTCCAACAATTGTTTACAGACTGATTATTTCACTTATAATTCACTGTATCACAATTCCAGTGGGTCAGAAGTTTACATACACTAAGTTGACTGTGCCTTTAAACTGCTTGGAAAATTCCAGAAAATGATGTCATGCTAATTGACATCATTTGAGTCAATTGGAGGCCTACCTTCACACTCAGTGCCTCTTTGCTTGACAAATCAAAAGAAATCAGCCAAAACCTATGAAAAAAAATTGTAGACCTCCACAAGTCTGGTTCATCCTTGGGAGCAATTTCCAAACGCCTGAAGGTACCACGTTCATCTGTACAAACAATAGTACGCAAGTATAAACACCATGGGACCACGCAGCCGTCATACCGCTCAGGAAGGAGACACGTTCTGTCTCCTAGAGATGAACATTCTTTGGTGCGAAAAGTACAAATCAATCCCAGAACAACAGCAAAGGACCTTGTGAAGATGCTGGAGGAAACAGGTACAAAAGTATTTATATCCACAGTAATACGAGTCCGATATCGACATAACCTGAAAGGCCGCTCAGCAAGGAAGAAGCCACTGCTCCAAAACCGCCATAAAAAAGCCAGACTATGGTTTGCAATTGCACATGGGGACAAAGATCGTACTTTTTGGAGAAATGTGCTCTGGTCTGATGAAACAAAAATAGAACTGTTTGGCCATAATGACCATTGTAATGTTTGGAGGAAAAGGGGGGTGGCTTGCAAGCCGAAGAATACCATCCCAACTGTGAAGCACGGGGGTGGCAGCATCATGCTGTGGGGGTGCTTTGCTGCAGGAGGGACTGGTTCACTTCACAAAATAGATGGCATCATGAGGAAGGAAAATTATGTGGATATATTGAAGCAACATCTCAAGACATCAGTCAGGAAGTTAAAGCTTGGTCGCAAATGGGTCTTCCAAATGGACAATGACCCCAAGCATACTTCCAAGGTTGTGGCAAAATGGCTTAAGGATAACAAAGGTATTGGAGTGGCCATCACAAAGCCCTGACCTCAATCCTATAGAAAATGTGTGGGCAGAACTGAAAAAACATGTGCGAGCAAGGAGGCCTACAAACCTGTCTAAGTTACACCAGCTCTGTCAGGAGTAATGGGCCAGAATTCACCCAACTTATTGTGGGAAGCTTGTGGATGGCTACCCGAAACGTTTGACCCAAGTTAAACAATTTAAAGGCAATGCTACCAAATACTAATTGAGTGTATGTAAACTTCTGACCCACTGGGAATGTGATGAAAGAAATAAAAGCTGAAATAAATCATTCTCTCTACTATTATTCTGACATTTCACAGTCTTAAAATAAAGTGGTGATCCTAACTGACCTAAGACAGGGAAGGATTAAATGTCAGGAATTGTGAAAAACTGAATTTAAATGTATTTGGCTAAGGAGTATGTAAACTTCCGACTTCAACTGTATAATTACTGTGATTTGTTGTTGTTGTTTTTACTGTACTCTTGCTGTACTTTTATTCTTGTAGTGCTGCATTGTAGTCTGGTGCAAGAAACACAGTTTATAAATCAAATAGTTTGTGTGGATAACCACCAGCGTGGCCTGTGGCAGTGCTGGCCTGGGCCTCGTTAGGCGCTGAGAGGGACAGCTGCTCAGTGTCTCCCACGGCCAGCCCTCTTATCAGCCACCGTGTGGCGAGGTGTCCAACGGGATTACACACAGCTTTATCAGGGCGTGTGTACGGAGACGCACACACCTAATGAAGGACCAAATGTGTCTGAGCGCCTCATGGCCCACCTTCATCCCTGCCTAGACTCACCCCCCTCAGCCCACTCACCCAGCCCCCCTCAGCCCATTCACCCAGCCCCCCTCAGCCCACTCACCCACCCCTCCCTCAGCCCACTCACCCACCCCTCCCTCAGCCCACTCACCCACCCCTCCCTCAGCCCACTCACCCACCCCTCCCTCAGCCCACTCACCCACCCCTCCCTCAGCCCACTCACCCACCCCTCCCTCAGCCCACTCACCCACCCCTCCCTCAGCCCACTCACCCACCCCTCCCTCAGCCCACTCACCCACCCCTCCCTCAGCCCACTCACCCACCCCTCCCTCAGCCCACTCACCCACCCCTCCCTCAGCCCACTCACCCACCCCTCCCTCAGTCCACTCACCCAGCCCCCCTCAACCCAGTCTCTCATCCTCTCATCCCTCCCCTGTGGTTTCACACCTGTGTGCCTGCTACTGTGGGTGTGTGGACGTAACCCTGGGTACACATTCATTGTGTGTGCCTGTGTGTGAGAAAATATTGTGTGTGTGTGTATGTGTGTGTGTATGTGTGTGCGCCTGTGGGAAAGTCTGTGTGTGTGTTTTCTGTCTCACACACAGGTCTGCAAGAGCCGTCTAATAGCACAGAGTTTGGCTCAAGCCCAGAGAATTACCCTCCTCCACTGGAATGGAGGCGCTGCCACTACACGTCGCTGCAAGCCGAATGCGTCGTTTCTCAGCTTCTTAGAAACCGTGTACACAGAGGTACCCAAGCCAGCCAGTGCAGCCATATCCTCTTAACTGGCCGTCTCAACCTTTGTGATTAACTGGGATTAGGGCTAAATTTGCAGCACTTACTACAATAATGAGATTGCTGCCCAACTCAACTACAGAAAGGCTGCATCTGTCTTCTTTTCAGTTCAGATAAATACATTCCTGTGTGTGAGTTATGTGCGGCTAGCCAGTCAACCCAAATTGGGGTTGGAGTTGAGTCGCTATGGTGATCTGGAGATTGTGATGTCTCCATGGAAACGGCTCCACCCCCCCCCTTCCGTTGTCCAGCTGACCACGTCCCAACGCTTCCCCTCTGTGACTCATTAAACCACCCCCTCACCCCCACTCCTCCATCCCTGGTCCCTTCATCCCTCCCTTTCTGGGGAGAGCCTCCCTGCTGACTCCACACTTTTTAGCCCTCAGGGCCTTGCACCACAGCATCAGTGCCCCGAAGTGAATGTCTTCCCAATGAGGAACAGGCCAACGAGACGGGCTTTAACAGTGTGATGGACAGAGACCACCAGGTGTATTTTACCAGGGTAGAGGGAGGACAGAGGTAATTCGGTCTGTGACCCTAGCATTGACCCCTGACCCTGGTGGGCTTTATGACCACTACTGTCACCCTCATTTTAAATTGTTTTATTAGCCTGTTCCGTTGTTGACACAGGCCTTTTAGTTGCTATGGCAGCATAATTTAGACAGAGCCAGAATGGATTTTGGGATTTATCACCCCACACTCTATTATCAATTCTAACTGTTGATTTGATTGTCACCAAAATACACTATATATACAAAAGTATGTGGACACCCTTCCGCTCTTGCTGCTCGTGACTCTCAGATCCACCTCTACGCAGACGACACCATTTTGTATACATCTGGCCCTTCATTGGACACTGTGTTAACAAACCTCCAAACGAGCTTCAATGCCATACAACACTCCTTCCATGGCCTCCAACTGCTCTTAAACACTAGTAAAACTAAATGCATGCTCTTCAATCGAACGCTGCTTGCACCTGCCCGCCCGACTAGAATCACTACTCTCAGCGGGTCTGACTTAGAATATGTGGACAACTACAAATACCTAGGTGTCTGGTTAGACCATAAACTCTCCTTCCAGACTCACATTAAGCATCTCCAATCCAAAGTTAAATCTAGAATCGGCTTCCTATTTCGCAACAAAGCCTCCTTCACTCATGCTGCTAAACATGCCCTCGTAAAACTGACTATCCTACCAATCCTTGACTTCGGCGATGTCATTTACAAAATAGCTTCCAACACTCTACTCTGCAAATTGGATGTAGTCTATCACAGTGCCATCCGTTTTGTCACCAAAGCCCCATATACTACCCACCATTGTGACCTGTATGCTCTCGTTGGCTGGCCCTCACTACATATTCGTTGCCAAACCCACTGGCTCCAGGTCATCTATAAATCACTTCTAGGCAAATCCCCGCCTTATCTTAGATCATTGGTCACCATAGCAACACCCACCCGTAGTATGCGTTCCAACAGGTATATCTCACTGGTCATCCCCAAAGCCAACACCTCCTTTGGCCACCATTCCTTCCAGTTCTCTGCTGCAAATGACTGGAACGAACTGCAAAAATCTCTGAAGCTGGAGACACTTATCTCCCTCACTAACTTTAAGCATCAGTTGTCAGAGCAGCTTACCGATCACTGCACCTGTACACAGCCCATCTGTAATTAGCCCACCCAACTACCTCATCCCCATATTGTTATTTACATTGTTATTTATTTTACTCATTTGCACCCCCAGTATCTCTATTTGCACATCATCTTCTGCACATCTATCACTCCAGTGTAGATTATTTTGCACTATGGCCTATTTATTGCCTTACCTCCATAACTTACTACATTTACATTTACATTTTAGTCATTTAGCAGACGCTCTTATCCAGAGCGACTTACAGTTAGTGAATACATTTTTTTTTTTTTTTATACTGGCCCTCGGTGGGAATCGAACCCACAACCCTGGCGTTGCAAACGCCATTGCTTTATCAACTGAGCTACATCCCTGCCGGCCATTCCCTCCCCTACCCTGGACGACGCTGAGCCAATTGTGCGCCGCCCATGAGTCTCCCGGTCGCGGCCGGCGGCGACAGAGCCTGGATTCGAACCAGGATCTAGTGGCACAGTTAGCACTGCGATGCAGTGCCTTAGACCACTGCGCCACTCAGGAGTTTGCACACACTGTATATAGATGTTCTATTGTGTTATCGACTGTACGTTTTGTTTATTCCATAAGTTACTCTGTGTTGTTGTTGTTTTTAATCGCACTGCTTTGCTTTATATTGGCTAGGTCGCAGTTGTAAATGAAAACTTGTTCTCAACTGGCTTACCTGGTTAAATAAAGGTGAAATAAAAAAATACAAAATAAAATTAGTGGATTCGGCTATTTCAGCCACACCCGTTGCTGACAGGTCTATATAATCGAGCACACAGCCATGCAATCTCCATAGACAAACATTGGCAGTAGAATGGCCTTACTGAGAGCTCAGTGACTTTCAACGTGGCACCGTCATAGGATACCACCTTTCCAACAAGTCAGTTCGTCAAATTTCTGCCCTGCTAGAGCTGATCCGGTCAACTGTAAGGGCAGTTATTGTGAAGTGGAAACGTCTAGGAGCAACAACGGCTCAGCTGCGAAGTGGTAGGCCAAACAAGCTCACAGAACGCAGAATGGGACCGCCGAGTGCTGATGCGCGTAAAAATTGTCTGTCCTCAGTTGCAACCCTCACTACAGAGTTCCAAACAGCCTCTGGAAGCAACGTCAGCACAATAACTGTTATTCGGGAGCTTCATGAAATGTGTTTCCATGGCCGAGCAGTTGCACACAAGCCTAAGATCACCATGTGTAATGCCAAGCGTCGGCTGGAATGGTGTAAAGCTCGCCGCCATTGGACTCTGGAGCAGTGGAAATGCGTTCTCTGGAGTGATGAATCACGCTTCACCACCTGGCAGTCCAACTGAAGAATCTGGGTTTGGCGGATACCAGGAGAAAGCTACCTGCCCGAATGCATAGTACCAACTGTAAAGTTTGGTGGAGGCTGTTTTTCATGGTTCGGGCTAGGCCCCTTAGTTCCAGTGAAGGGAAATCTTAACACTACAGCATACAATTACATTCTAGACAATTCTGTGCTTCCAACTTTGTGGCAACAGTTTGGGGAAGGCCCTTTCCTGTTTCAGCATGACAATGCCCCCGTGCACAAAGCGAGGTCCATACAGAAATGGTTTGTTGAGATTGGTGTGGAAGAACTTAACTGGCCTGCACAGAGCCCTGACCTCAACCCCATCGAACACCTTTTGGATGAATTGGAACGCCGACTGCGAGCCAGGCCTAATCGCCCAACATCAATGCCCGATCTCACTAATGCTCTTGTGGCTGAATGGAAGCAAGTCCCCACAGCAATGTTCCAACATCTTGTGGAAAGCCTTCCCAGAAGAGTGGAGGCTGTTATAGCAGCAAAGGGGGGACCAACTCCATATTAATGCCCATGATTTTGGAATGAGATGTTCAACGAACAGGTGTCCACATACTTTTGTTCATGTACTATATCAATTGATTAACTCTGTGACATATCAGCTACATGTTGAGAGTTGTATTGCATTTATGCCATCAATGTAATTCCTGTGTGTGTGTGTGTGTGTGTGTGTGTGTGTGTGTGTGTGTGTGTATGTATGTGTGTGTTTGTGTGTGTGTGCGGCTCCAGTACCTGAGCGTGGTGTCGGGGTGTGTGTCCATGTGGACTTCCAGGTCGTACTTGCAGCCAAAGGTGTTGAAGCAGATAGGACACGGCAACACATCATCATCCCCCTGGCCTGAACCCAACTCCTCCAACACAGTCTCCTCCAGCACCTGGACACACACACACACACACACACACACACACACACACACACACACACACAGGTAACAATATGAATGACTTAACTGGAAATATATTGTGGTGGAGTAGAGGAGATGTGTGTGCATGCGTGCACACATTTGACAGTGTGTGTGTGTGTGCGTTACCTTTTTGTTGGCCGGTTCATTGCCTCGCTCCTTGTCCTCGTCCATGGCTGACCTCCTCTTGGCAGAGGGGCGGCGTCTCTTGGTGGGCGAGGGGGGGCTGATGGGAACGACGCCGGCCGGGTCTTTGTCATGGATCTTCATATGTCTGCAGGGAGGAGAGAGAGACAGGAAAAGACGTCAGAACAGAACACAGGACAACATAAGGAGCCAGGTCCCAGATCAGTTTGTGCTTTAGCCTACTTCATTGTCATTGGCAAGGTAAACGTTTGACAATTCAATTCGGAGTTGACAGGAGAGCAGAAAAAGACTGGCACCCAGGTTACAACTCCTATGGTCGTTGAGGAAAAGGTAGCTGGCTAACTCAGGTGATCGTGCTTCATAACATGCTTGTAGTATCCTCAAAACAAAATGCTGGATTGATGTACACCGCTGATTTCATTGCCAGTACTTTACAGCGAGCCTCAGATCTACTGAAGAGACAGTGTGGAGGGTTGCCAGATTAGGAAGCTGGGCTCAATAATGAGTAATCTCCTGGGAATGTTGGTGGGTAGGGAATCCCTGTAGAATCCCAAAGGGAACGGGAACAGAGGCGCACACACACACACACACACACACACTTGGGAGGAGGGCAGAACGATGGTAATATTCTGTAAATTGCTCCAATTATATAATTATATAATATGCCATTTAGCAGACGCTTTTATCCAAAGCCACTTACAGTCATGCGTGCATACATTTTTACATCTAGCCAACTCAGCATGCCCATATAAGGGCCTAACTCCGGGCCAGGGAAAAGGGCCATGAGGGTACCATCAAGGGCAGTAATCTCCATCACAGTAATGACAGCTTCAGTGGAGCCCTTTCCATATTATATACTGAACAAAAACATAAACGCAACATGCAACAATTTCAAAGATTTTACTGAGTTCCAGTTCATATAAAAGGAAATCAGTCAATTGAAATAAATAAATTAGGCCCTAATCTATGGATTTCACATGACTGGGCAGGGGTGCAGCCATGGGTGGTCCTTGGAGGGCATAGGCCCACCCACTTGGCAGCCAGGCCCACCCACTGGGGAGCCAGGCCCAGCAAATCAGAATGAGTTTTTCCCCACAAAAGGGCTTTATTACAGACAGAAATACTCCTCAGCACCCCCCCTCAGACAATCCCTTAGGTGAAGAAGACGGATGTGCAGGTCCTGGGCTGGCGTGGTTACACGTGGTCTGCGGTTGTGATGCCGGTTGGACGTACTGCCAAATTCTATAAAACGACGTTGGACGCAGCTTATGGTAGAGAAATTAACATAAAATTATCTGGCAACAGCTCTGGTGGACATTCCTGCAGTCAGCGTGCCAATTGCACGCTCCCTCAAAACTTGAGACATCTATGGCATTGTGTTGTGTGACAAAACTGCACATTTTAAAGTGGCCTTTTATTGTCCCCAGCACAAGGTGCCCCTGTGTAATAATCATGCTGATTAATCAGCTTCTTGATATGCCACACATGTCAGGTGGATGGATTATCTTGGCAAAGGAGAACTAACAGGGATATAAACAAATTTGGGCACAAAATTAGAGAGAAATAAGCTTTTTGTGCATATGGAACATTTCTGTTTTGTTTTTTTTCAGCTCATGAACATGGGACATGTTGCGTTTATATTTTTGTTCAGTATATATCACATTTGCCTTCTCTAGTAACGTTTACAGGGGTAGTTAAGCTATTTATTTTTCTATTTGTGGCATTCAGATATAGTTATACAGTTGTACATAGATTATGTTTATTTGTACTGTCGTGGAGCCTGTTTAGACAGAGGGTGTCCTCTGCTGCTAACTTCCCTCCCCTTTCTCCTCCTCCGACACCACTTCACTACAAAACATTTCAGCTGTCGGGCTATGTCACATGGAAGAGACAGGGGGAGGGAGCGAAGAGAAGGAGAGAGACAAGGAGGGGTGTACAGAGAGAGAAATGGGGAGGCAGACAAACGAAAGGATAGAGATGTGAGAGAGATAGCGAGATGGTAAGATATTACAAAAGCGAGAGAAAGAGAAGAGAGGAGATAATGTCACACAGGAGTTCTAAAAGGGAGAGGCCTGACTATCAGGACAGGAAGTCATGTTATCTATGGGGGAAGGGGGAAGGACGGGGGAGGAGAAGGCAGAGTGGGTAGAGAGGGAGGAGGAGGAGGGGACAATGTATAGTTGGGGGATGGGGATTGAGGCAAAGGGAAAACTGTTAGCTAACTTCATCAAGGTGAATGTGATGAATGTGTTCTTCGGAAGCTGATTACACTAGTTTAAACTTTGAGAGGGGGTCAAAGATAACGGCAGCGCTAGGAGAAGACTGATGAATTGGGGGGGTTGCTAAACCATACAGGAGTTGTCGTCATCCCCTTCCACCCTCCCTACTCTGTCTGGTGAAAGGTCAAATGCCATCGGTTGATTTAAGGAAATGTGTGTGTGTGTGTGAAGGGAGGGGGACAGGAGGACTAAGACCCTGGCAAACACATCAGCACATCCCTGACGGGCCTAGTCCACAGAGTCCTGCATCAGCACATCCCTGACGGGCCTAGTCCACAGAGTCCTGCATCAGCACATCCCTGACGGGCCTAGTCCACAGAGTCCTGCATCAGCACATCCCTGACGGGCCTAGTCCACAGAGTCCTGCATCAGTAGCCAGTCATAGGGCCTCAGTGTGTGGGCTATCATTTCAGTATGTGGGCTATCATTTCGATGTGTGGGCTAACATTTCAGTGTGTGGGCTAACATTTCAGTGTGTGGGCTAACATTTCAGTGTGTGGGCTAACATTTCAGTGTGTGGGCTAACATTTCAGTGTGTGGGCTAACATTTCAGTGTGTGGGCTAACATTTCAGTGTGTGGGCTAACATTTCAGTGGGTGGGCTAACATTTCAGTGGGTGGGCTATCATTTCAGTATGTGGGCTATCATTTCAGTGTGTGGGCTAACATTTCAGTGTGTGGGCTAACATTTCAGTGTGTGGGCTAACATTTCAGTGTGTGGGCTAACATTTCAGTATGTGGGCTATCATTTCGATGTGTGGGCTAACATTTCAGTGTGTGGGCTAACATTTCAGTGTGTGGGCTAACATTTCAGTGTGTGGGCTAACATTTCAGTGTGTGGGCTAACATTTCAGTGTGTGGGCTAACATTTCAGTGGGTGGGCTATCATTTCAGTATGTGGGCTATCATTTCGATGTGTGGGCTAACATTTCAGTGTGTGGGCTAACATTTCAGTGTGTGGGCTAACATTTCAGTGTGTGGGCTAACATTTCAGTGTGTGGGCTAACATTTCAGTGTGTGGGCTAACATTTCAGTGTGTGTGCTAATATTTCAGTGTGTGTGCTAACATTGCAGTGTGTGTGCTAACGGTGTACCCATACTTGTGTGTTGGCAAGTTGCTGCTAGAATAAGTCTGCTTGAATAAAGATGGGTGCATGATTGTGCAATTGTGTGGGCAAACTTGTTTGTGAGTAACTTTGATAGTGTGTGTGCATGGATATGTGATATAGCTATGTCTGTGTATAAGTATGTTTGCATAAGTGTGACTGCGTACGTCTGTGTGTGTGCCCGTGTCAATAAGTGTGTTTGTCTGTGTAAAACTGTGCGCGTGTGTGTGTGTGTTCACCAGCATCAGAGAGGAAAGGTCAGCCAGCGCTGGATAGGCAGCACAGGTCTCAGCTTTCATTCTGCAGCCAGTGCCTGGGCTATAAATAGCAGGCAGGCAGCAAGCTGGCCGCCCATGTGGGGACCTGACAGGCAGCAGCCGCATCCACCTGGACTCTGACCCCCGGCCACAGCCAATCCTGAGATAACTAAGCTGCTATGTCAGTACATCGTGATTGGGTGAAGCCAACTTGTCTTTGTGTCACCTCAGCCACCCTCCTCAATTCACCTGTCCTGCCTACAAAACATTTCCACATTGTCTATCGAGTTGGTTGATGGTTTGATCCGCACCTGCAGGTATCATGTGACAAAATACCTTGTTATCTATGCTGGAAGATGTTTTATTTATTTTTCAAATAAAATATCTAAAGAAATGTGCAATTTGCATTAATCATCAGGATATTCTAGTACATTGAGGAGGCACTCAGACCTCTGAAACAGCTCATATTATATCAAGCGTAAAAACAAACCACTTTATCAAGAAGCTATCCACCAAAGACAGACCATAACAAATCTATTCTTTCAATATAATTTATAGTGTTCTAATGGGAAAAAAAGAGAGAGCGACAGAGACAGAAGAAGAAAGAGAGAACTCGTCAGACTAACAGCGGGGGTTGATGATTCAACAGGTCTCTTCTCATCCAAAATGAAAGATTCCACTGCACCAGCACAGAGTGTGGGCAGGGGGTGCTGTAGAGTCAAAATGCTGCTCCCTGCTCTTGTGCAATGTCACACCAAGGGCATTCCTCTTTACCGTTGCAACTTCTCTCTCCTTCTCTTCTCTACTACCACACTTTACTGTCCTGTAAAGTTAAAGCAAATAAAAGCGCACCATCCACTACTCACTGGCTCAGTCTATTCACCAGGCCCTTAACAGGGTTGGGATGCATCACCTTGGCAACAGGCTCACAACAGCAGGCCCCATTTCATTTGATGCTCTGGCAACAAAATGGCTGCTCCACTGCCAGCCATATGGACAGCTCCACCACATCAGGCCAGGGCTGGATGGATTCAGTACCGTGGAACATTCACAAGGAAGGTCGCAGATAGAAATAGAATGAATAGAGCCCACTCGATCTCAGTGTGCTTTGAGTTTCTTACCCCAAAGCATTGCTTCTTTTTTGGGGTGTTGAGAAAATGCTAAATGGAATGATGAAAAAGAACATGAATATGCAAAGAAACAACTTAGTATCGCTTTGTATTCTCTAAACAGAATTCAGCTGCATCCTTTGACACTAGAGAGCACTGAGCTACAGTGAGTAACCAACCGACATCGCTCGTCCATATGTGTATATATTCTTAATTCATTCCTTACTTAGATTTGTGTGTATTGGGTATTTGTTGTGAAATTGTTAGATAGTGCAGACAAGTAATATCGGAGCTACAAGCATTTCGCTACACCCGCAATAACATCTGCTAAACACGTGTATGTGACCAATAACATTTTATTTTATTTTATTTG